AAAAACTTCTAAAAAATGTAATATTATTTCTTTATATTGTTAAGTACCAAAGATTTGAAGAAAATAGAAAAGAAAAATACCTCTAGGGTTAGAAATAGTGTGAACCGAGAGTCAGAAGAGTGGGGCAAACTCTGAAAACACATTAAGCAGATGCTTCAAGGAACAAGTGACAGACGGTGGGTATAAATGTGACACAAGGCAGAAGAGGTGACAGGTAACAAAAGGAAGAAGTGGCAGACACAAACAGTGACAGAAAAAGCAGAGAAGCAGGCATAGATGTGTTTAGAGTGAGAAAGTGGAGAAGTGATAGCACTGGTTTATGTACTAAGTAAAATACTGTTATGCTTAATAAAAAGGAAATACCATCTATGGCAAAAGGAAAGAACTTTAGTAGAGACTCTAATGTTTTGGTTTTCATAATAAGATACTTTATATGTTCATCAACACAAGCAGCACCAAGAGCACATAAGTACTATTTCAACACTGATATCTCTTTCCCAACAGGGCAGTAAGTTAACTGTCCTGGGTGTGTAGGAAAGCTGCCATAAATGAACAGGTGTTTGTCTGATGCATTTGTTACTCAGTTGTACAGGGGCTGTGCTGTTTACTGGCAGCTAGAGCAACCTTTTCCTAAACCTCCCTGCACAAAGCTTGACACAGCAGTTCTGCCTCATGCTGGTTCCTGGTGCTGTGATTAATGCTATCTCCATCTAAGGGGGAGTCCTTCCTCTTACCAGCCAATGACACTTGTGGCTGCTGGCATGCCTGTATCTGAAGTGAGAAATAGAAGAGAAAACAAATTAAAAACGATCATCTTTAAGGGAAGGAAAGGAGAGAAAAAAAACCAGAGGAGTGGGAAGAAAGGAGGAGGGGGACTGAGAAGAACAGCAGTTCTTAGAGTGGCGATTAGGACACAGTGACCACAAAAGGCTTCACGGCTGGTCAGTGGATTTCTCCAAATTATCTACTTCACTCTCCAATTTTTGGGTACACGCTTTAAACACATTTATCCAGGGGATTCAGAAAGACGAGATGATCCTTAGAGTGTGATCCACTGCTCTTGTATCCTTCCCAAACTGCACTGCAGTTCACTCCTGTGTCCACACCTTCTCACGATCTCCTTCCATTCCTGAATGTTTTGCTGGTAGAACGTATGCTGTAAGGTATCAACCCCCACTCCACCAAGCACGTGTGCACATCCAGTTGTCAAAATACTAGTTTTTGTTTTAACTAGGGTCTGTCCTTCGATCATATTGCTTTCTTAGTAGTTCTTTTGAAGAGAGGATGTTTATTTTCTTATATGTTGTGCATCTGAGTTCTGGTATTGCTTTCTTTGATCCCTAATGCAGATTTCAAATCATTATTTCTCATTTTATAAAAATTTCCATTATGTCTGTCATTTATTAAAGCACTTGGGTGCCTAACTTATAGTCTTTATACTTCAAATCTGGACATTACACACTGTATACTTGGACATTCAAGTCTCACTGCTTCATCTTCTCACACATTTTTTTCCTTTACCTCATTTAGGCTCTCCCATTCCAGATAAGGACATATACCCTTACAACTTGTCTGCTTAACAGCTCAACCTGTAGCTGCTATTTGAATTCAACAACAGCTCTACTTTTTATATATGAACACTCTACCTTTTCAAGACATAATACAAAGTATTCTTTCATTTATCTTCAGTCTATCCTTTTATTTTTTTGTAAGTTTGTATGTGTGTGTGTGTGTGTGTGAGAGAGAGAGAGAGAGAGAGAGAGAGAGAGAGAGAGAGAGAGAGAGAGAGACAGAGTGTGTATAGAGTGTGTATGTGTATGTATCATGGCACACATGTGGCAGTCAGAGGACAACTTACAGAAGTTAGTTTTCTCCTTCCACCATGTGGATCTCAGGGATGTCCGGCTGGGCAGCAAGTGCCTATACTTACTCAGCCATCTTTGCCCACTCCAGTCTATCCTTTCACTGGAACTTAAACATGCTTAAGAATCTTTTAAACAGAAAGAAAGAAAAAGAAAGTAAGAAAGAAAGAAAGCCTGCCTTTATATATTTCTGGTTCCAAGCTTAAACTCTAGGTTTTCTACTTCTAAGTTTATCAAACAGTTGGTCATTTTCTCTCTTCTCTTACTCATTTCCTGCTCACTCTTCAATCTCCCAGCTCTGCTTTTTCCTTTACAGTCACTGCACTGAAAGAGTTCCTTCTGAAGCCACCTCCACTAGCTACACAGGAAGTGCCCCCTTGCTGAAGTAGTGTTCTGGTGGCCTGTCTCCATGGCTTCTGCTGACAGTACTGTTTCCCCAACTCTCACGTCTCCAGTTCCTTCTCAGGCTTTTCGAGCCTTCATTGCCCCTCTGACCAGTCTTTTAAAAGTTATGGATGTAGGATGTGATCTGAAGCTAGCCTCTCTTTCTTTCCTTAGGTATCATAGTCATTCTGTATGAAAGCTTATTTTTATGCCAGTGACTGAATTTTACAGTTCTAGTTCTATATTAAAAATACCAAATACAGAATATCCAAATGTACTCCTTTTCCAATTTCTCATCAACAAGAGTAATGAGATTCACCTGAATTTTCACATCAGCATCTAGGGGATCACTAAATGATACTCATGTTTACTAGGTGTCCCTTGAACATGCCACCTGTCTCTATCTCCACTGCCACCAACCTAGCCAAGACAGCTGCTGTGACGGCCTAAATGTGTCCAAATGTTTCTACTTTATTCTTTTAGTCCTTCTAATATATTTCCTACACTATAGCAAAAGGATCTTTTAAAAATTTAAACCTGATTTTGATACTTTCTTGTCTGTAATGTTTAAAGACTTACTGCTGATATGGAAATAAAATTCCCAAAGCTTTGGACAGTCCCTCAATGTGCCCTGCCTTAGTCCCCCAGATACATTCAAAGCTAGTTTCACTTTTGCCTTCTGTATGTAGCCAAGTAATTCTGGCCTGCTCTTGTCACATACTGTGTGTGTTCTTTTTTCTGTCTGGGAACCTCCTCTCTACAAGATCAATTCCATCCTCTTCTGTTGGCCAATCCCTACTGTATATGCTTAATAGTCATTCAGAAAAGCTCAGGTTTGCTTTTATTTTGTAGTATTTACCATAATTACAACAAACTATAACATCATTTAATGTCAATGCTTCCTGCTCCAACTCCAAGTCCTCTCCACCCTCACTGCCAAAGTGTAAAATCCAGGAGGGCAGCGACAACATCTGTTTGGTTCATAAGTACATACAGGGACCCAAGATATGTCTAATAAATATGCAAGGAAAGAACAAGTGAAAATTCATTCCAACTTTTGTATTCTATTTATCTGAATAAACTATAAAGAGCAGGGAGATTGACATTCTCAGTTTTACTCAAATACGAGAGAGAGCGAGAGAGAGAGAGAGAGAGAGTGAAGAGAGAGAGAGCGAGAGCGAGAGCGAGAGAGGGAGAGAGAGAGAGAGAGAAACAACTACAAATTCTTTAATCAAACTGTAGGGCTTGGGGAGGGGCACCCTAACACATACCTAATTCCTGATAGTAATTTCAACTTGCCATTAATTCTACTTAGAAAACATATTTCTAGGACTCCTATATTACAATCCACCCACCCAGGGCTCAGGGCTCATTGTAGAAGAGGGGACAAAAATATTGTAAGAGCCAGGGAGGAGGTGCATGACCATATAGAAACAGTCCTACAGGCTCCTGGAACTCTTTTCATACGAAGCTACGTGTCAGCATGCACAAGACCCAAGCAAACTCAAGCAGACAAAAACCCAGCACAGAACTGTGGAAATCAACAGCAGACCCCAATCTAAGTGGAGGAATTACTGGCAGCTGATTACTGCTGGGTGAGGAAGAACTGATCTTCTTAGGTAGAGGGACTCTAGATAGACTGACTAGATTCCAGTGGATGAACTTGCACTGAAGGACATCTGGGGACACTAACTTTACATGATAGGCCTTAACACAAATGACAGAATGCATGAGCTCCAGCGGGCAGACTATGGTAGGGTGCAAAAGGGAAAGGGGGCATAAAGATGATTTTCTGTATGAAATACACAAAAATTCAATAAAAAATAAAAAAAAATATTTCTAAAAAAATAAGTAAAAAAATAGAGTACCAGGAACTCAGAAGAAGGAATAAGGAATTAATGAAGATTCCACATCTTGCTAAAGTATTACCTTACAATTGTCTAAAGTACTCTATAAGGCCCATAATCCCCTCTACATTTACATATTAATTTGCCTTCTAACCAAGTTTGATTAGAAAAAATTAAAAAGTACATTTAAAAATAAAAATATCTACTACAGGCTTTTCATTAAATGAGTACTCTGTGCAGAAAGTCCAATGGGTCTGATTTCTACCTCAAATCAGTAATGCTTTTAAGGTTCTGAATGAAACATGAGAAAAATTAAGAATATAAATTCAAGTTTGGCTTTCTTCTGAACTACCAGTCTATGGTATTTAAAGCACACAATGTCACTCTTGTGACACTCACTGCTGATGCCAATAGCCAAGCTTTCAGCTTGGTTGGGCACATCCTTCTTTTCTCACATCCTGGGTTGAATGAATGAGGAAAAAGTTTTTAAAAAATAAATACTAACTTTAACCAAAACTCTCTATATTTGGGTTAATTGTTCATTTTTAATGCTTGGCACCGAGGGTCTCGGGCATGCTAGGCAAGCATTCTACCACTGAATTTTATTCCCAGCCTGGAACTCTCTATATTTGTAGTGAACAGAAATAGCTCAGATGATGGGGAACTGGAATTCTTTTACTCCACAGTAGGCGTGACTGTTGCTAGCCATGTTTGAGTAAGTGTTGTTGTGTTCTTCCCACAATGGAGAAGTAGGTCGTAAGGGTGAAGCTTTCAGGCAGTGTATTATAGAGAACAGTGGTTTCCACACAGTCACTGTGCCAACTTTTAAAAAAAATGCTCTGCTTGGTCAGATGCTCATTCCTATGCTATTGCTGTAACTGTTCATCTGCATGTTCTTGTACTTTACCTTTACCTTCACAGGGATATCATCATCTTGGTTTGCTTTTTCTGAGGTGAAGACATAGGAGATGTCTTTGTGTGATGTGGTCTGGCGGCAGATGGCACACTTGATTGAGCTTCTGTGAGACCCCACACTGTACTGTTCAATAATAATAGACGTACACTCATTACAGAAACAGTGTCCACAGGTCAGCACTGCCCACTAAGAAGAAAACACACAGAATAAGCCTGGATGAGAATGCTACCCACAATGCCTTGCGCTTACCAAGACATATACAGGAGAAAGATGACTCACAATTGCACTTCCTGAATATTTCATGATATTAGCATTCTCTAAGGAATAAAAGAAAGCCAAGGCATGATTTAAATTATTTTTTTAGTCTTAAGGAGAATAAGCTTTCATAATTTTCAGCTTTATTATCCTAATAACAGTTAATCATATTTATTTTATATTAAACTGTTGTTCTCATTTCAGAAAAAAATTGCGAAATATTCCTTCAGCACTCCAGCAGCAGATAAGTAGAACCAAGAAAGCATTAATTTGAAGATAATATACTCAACACATTCCATTCAATTTATCAAGCACTTTCCCTTGTTAAAGCACTTATATAGAAAGTGAGATGAGCTAGTATTTCAAGATTTATTTTAAATGTGTTCCTGAGTATACTAAAAAGAATAGAGTTTTTGTGAAACCACTTGTCTTGTGACTACTCTGGCAGTGGGTACTTGGTTCTTAGCTGCATTTTGTTTAGGATTTGGACATGTATGGACTTGTACTGAATGAAAGAAAGTGTGTAGCTTGTAGAGAAAGTGTGTAGCTTGGCCCAGCCAACACTCTGAAAGGGAACTAAGAAGCTCTTTGGAAAATAATTCAAACTACGGGTAGAACAAACTAAGGTAGAGAAGCCTGGTTTTAAAATAATTAATGAGACACGAGAAGGGTTCTCTGTTTTGGTTGGATGATACTTCTCCTATTCCTCTCTAATTTCATCTGTGCATCTGTGCTCTCAGGGGCTTAAGTCAGAGAGAACCATCAGGAGTTGCATTTGGTACACAAAATTAAAGGCCTATCTCATAACATATTTGCTTGACACAGCAGCATTGTTTACTACCATATGCATCTCAAGTGACACTGGAAATATAGGATACTTCCTATGACTGGGAGGACTTCTGTGACTCATGGGAACTCAGAATTGATAAGGTACAGAGAAAGACAGGTTCACCTATATCTGTAATGGAAAAAAGTCGAAGAGCCACCTTATACTTGAGCAGTACCACTGAATAATTGACACAGAGAACACATGGCAGTGTCTCTAACAGGATCAGCAAGAACTTACAAGTAAGCTCCAATAGAGCCCAATTTATAGAACCAAATAATAAGGTGAGGAGGAAAACGGAGAATCAAGGGGATGGACAGAGTCCCTATATATAGCATGGGAGTTCGCAAAAACAGTTTTGTCACTATTTTTATAACCCAATTATTTATTTAATGCAGAAAACTAAAATTGAATGAAATAACAGATACAAAGAAAAATTAAAAACTGTAAAAGCTTAGGGCAAAATGAAATTTCACTGAAACTAAAAGCAAAAAAGATCCTATTCTGTCATGATCCACCTCTACCTGTCTATTTGTCTTGGTGCTAAAGACTGAACCCAGGGCCATCTGTATACCAGACACAATTCACTAAGCTACCTGCAAAGAACTGATCCTATAAAATCTAAATATTTTTAAATCACTGACTTTTATCAGATCATACTAGTATCTAATTGAGATTAATACTTGTCTTTCACATAGTTATGAGAAGGTATGCGTGTGTGTGCACATGTGCACGCACATGTGTAAGAGAAGTGAAGACAGGCTGACTATATGGAGAAGTCTTTGAAAATTATACAGCGTTTTATAAATCCATGTGATGTTTATTATAATTTTACCTGTTTTCCCAACTGTCGAGCACAGATTGGACAAGGTTCTGGATTAACACCTCCTGAGGTTTTGTCTTGAGACTATGGGGAAACAGAAAAATTCAAAAAACATATTAGCCATATATTATATTTAGAACTTGATGCATGCTTTGCAACTCATTTGTAACAATATGTGCTGGTAATTTCAATTAAAATCATCTAGCTAGTGAGAGGACCTAATACTTTATATAATAATATCATCATTTCTGGTATTTACTCAGGATATGAACAAAGAAAGGAAACTATTTTTACTATAGTTTGTGATTATAATAGACAAAATTAAAATAAAAATACAACATAGCTAAATTTTGGAAATTTTACTCTCAGATTACATTTTATTAGAAAGAAATATTTCCAGATAAGCAAAAACAAAACAAAACAAAAAATCCTGAAAGAATTTAACCTCAATAGACTTACTACAGCAAATACTAAAGGAAAATAATTCCAGAATTAAAGAAAGGGCGTCAGACTGCAAATACTACTAGCTTTGAGGGCATATGGCTTTGTTGCAACTGTCCAACTCTGCTACTGTAGTCTCAAATGCAGCCATGGACAGCAGGGAAGTATGAGCATGACTGTGTTCATTCAAACTTAATTTATATAAATAGTGGCAGAATGAACTTTTTCTGTGTGTAGGTTGCAGATCCCAGATTTAAGTCATAAATTTCCCTTTTATTTGTCAATTAAAAATAGATGCTTCCCTTTAAGCATGTCTTACCTGCACAGTCGTATATTTTCAATTTCATTCAGATTAGAATATTTTTTAATTTCTACTATAATTTCGTTGAATGAGGCATTACTTAGAAGTGTATTGTTAATGTCAAATTTGAGGATTTATCTAGGTATCTATTAGTGAGTTCTACTTGAATTCTCTTTTGTTAATAGACATACCCTTGCAGAATTCTAATCTTGTAAAAATTTTAAGTTTCTGAGTCAGCATTAATTTGGTTTTGGTAAGGATCCCATGTACACCTGGAAAAAGGTACAGTTGTTTTTAGGTGTACTATGGTTTCAGTTAGACCACATTTGTTCAAATATTTGGTATCTTTACATATTGGGCATCTCTTGGAAATATGGAAGACTCTTATAATAGTTAATCTGAGCTTACTTCCTTCTTTTAAGTTATCATACATCTTCATTTTGTGTCTGTTGTATATTCTATATAATAGCACTGCTGTTTCATTCTTTTATAAAACTAGTCAGTATTTTTTTATATTTACCTACTCATTTAAGCTTTCCTTTGCTCTTCATGCTTTCCTGTGGTTCTATCTTTAATTCTGGAATCATTTTCCTTTAGTTCAAAGTATTTCCTTTAGTATTTGCTACAGTGAGTCTACTGAGGTTAAATTCTTTCAGTTTTTGCTTATCTGGAAATATTTCTATCGCCTCCCCCCTTTTTTGCAGGATATTTTCTCTAGGTATTGATCCTAGGTTGGGAGGTATTTATTTCAGGATTTTAAAGATGTCATGACACTGTTACAGTGTTGAAAGAAAAACCCTCTATGTATTTGCCAATTCTGATCAAGTGCTCTGTCAAAGGATCAACTATGAATAATGAATAAAATGGATTTATCAGTGCCTTAACAATTCGGACGTCTGACTTAATCACAATGTGGAAAATGTATCATGAATCACATTAAATAACAGAACTCTATTCCCATGTCTTTTGACTTGTGAGCTTTCACATAACATATGAAAGAATACATGTATACGCTACATAGGACAATTTTCACTGAAGTATACTGCAATATTCTATCAAAGACTTTGAACTATATAATCTGTTTACATTTCTTACTATGTAGTACATTCCTTTTAAATCATATCTAATTATCATTTCTAAGGATAACACTTTTGTGTAGCTATTGTAGATATAGCTTATTTGACTCATAAAACTCATATAACTAACACAAACAAAATACACTATTCATTCAAATGCAACAGATCACTAAAGTGGTTTATGATAACACAGCACAGAGAAAACAGCATTAAAGAATACCTTCTCCAAGTTCGTTAGGTACAGAAGCTGTCCAAGTTTCTTCTGAAGCTGTGATGTAGCAACGGCTTTATCATTTATTAGCTTTACTCGATTTTGCTCTACCTAAAAACAAGTCAAAAGGACCATTCTTTATTCTGTCTCAGAAAAATGGTTCAACTACATTAAACATGCATTAATTCCCTGAATAACAGGAATTCATGTCCTAGCTTAAGAAGAAATTTCAAATTCAAATTTGTAAGATTGCTATTAAAATAATGTATTTGAAAGAACTTGCTTTACAGAAGACAAAATTTAATGTGGAGTTGTTTTAAAGGGAAGCATACTATGTATTTGAATCAGATAAAAATCCATCTAAATTCTATTTATGTACCACTTCTTAGTAGTACATGTATTGGATGAAGAAACCTGCATGATTTGATTTAGGGAGGGAGACGTGTGAAACCCAAGGAAGAACCGCTGTCCTTTCTTTTTTATTTTCACCAAGTACAACAGACAGAAAGGAGAATTCAGATGAGTGCAATTATTTTTTTTTTTTTTTTTTTTTTTTCTGGTGCTGGAAGTTCAACCTAGAACTTACTTTTGAAGAAAAAATTACCAAGAATTCATTCTTAAGTGAGAGAGTATACAATAAATTATCTTAAAGCTTCTCTAAGCTATAGTCTAAAAGTTTTACAAAAAGAAATGGGGGGGCAGTATAGAGAGGGCACAGTGGTTAAGAGCTCTGGCTGCTCCTACAGAAGACCTGGGTTTAAAACCCAGCACCCACATGGCAACTAACAACCATCTATAACTCCAGTTCCAGGGGAATCCAAAGTCCTCTTCTGACCTCCCTGGGCATAGTACAACAAGGGTACATTTACACATATGCAGGCAATACACATATACACAAAACCAAAATAATAAAATTTAAAGAACAAAAAGAAATAAGTATAATTATTAAACCTCATAAGGGATAAAAGTAAATTATAAAGGAAATAAATATTTTTCGTGTGGACTAGAAAAGATAGGCAGAGTTCTGACTAATCCTAAAGTATACAGGGATTTATTGGACTATACATTGCAAATATCTACTACTAAGATATAAAAGAAAAGCACTGCAAAGTAAGTTTTAGTTATTCCTGAGGAACCTGTTTTTCTAATTTTAGGAGAGCTGAGGTTACATTACTTTTAAAATGAAACTAAGAATAACTACTGGATTTGATATAGAGAAAGTACTCAGAAATAGATGAATACCCAACTTGGGAAGAAATAAAATGCATTGAAACAGTGGATATTAAACCATATTATATATAAATGAAACTGCTTTTTTTGACCCACAAAATGCCTTAACGGCTCTCATGCACAGTGATGACTATAGGACAGGTCACTGCCCTTCCTCTCTACCTCTTCCGTGGAGTTTGGACTTCTCTTGCGTTATTCCCAATTACCTCATGTGGTTCAATGATATGAGGAACAGGTGGGTTTGGCTTTGGCTCCTTGGGATGTCTCACTCTTAGTCGTTCTGTAGCCATTGCAAGTTCATCAACAGCAGATACACGATTTCTTAGAGTCATCCAATATTCATGAAGCAACTGAAGGGGAAAGAGAAAAAGGCAGTGGAAAACACAGAATTAAATTAGTTTAAAATCACAAAGATGTACCTTAAGCAAAAGGTTTCAAGGAGGTCTACATTTTTTCATTAAGAGTTTAAGGAACAAGCAATACTTTAGGCCAAGTTCAAGATAAGGAAGTGCGACAGAATAACCTCATAGGACAATGTCTGCAATTCCTAGGAAAAGAATACCTAAAGATTGCATGGTAAGACCAAAAATCCATATAAATCAATACTAGATAGATGGGATCAACACTTTGACTATACACCATCCAATTTAAAAAAGATTTAAGGATAGGAGAAATTCGTTAGAAAGCCTTAACTGTAGCTTCTCTTTTTTCCTTATATAGTCCTCCTTCAATGCCACATAGGCAGTTACTACTAATCCCACCTTTCATTGGAATAATACATATTTATTCCTAAAAATTTCCAAAACATAAAGGATTCTATCAATCACTATAAAAGTTTAGACAAACTTCCTTCACTAACATATTCTGAACTGGATCTTAATTGAACAATATATTAGTAGCTACATCTGCTGTTTTTCTCTGTTTTCTTCATGCAAAAGCATGAAGAAAATGCACAAGGATAATGAGAGATGCACAAAGAGCACTTGTCTACACACGGAACACATGGTAAAACTCAGCTGTAGAAAAAAGATACAGGAGTAGCTAATGCTGTACATAATACTGACTTTCTCTGTGGTTTGCTATAATTAAATATGTTCATGTGCTTTACATTTATAATAATAATGCGCAAGAAAAATTATTATAGACTGTTGAAAAGATTTCAACTATGAAAGTATCATTCCTCACTTTAACAAATGTCTGGCCTGGTATTACAGACAATGTATCTACTCTTTTGACACATTATTATTTTGCTTTAAAAAGATTATAAAATGACATTATAATTAAAAAATAATCTGTCTCCCTTACTCATCTCACAGGCAAAGGATTAACAGACAAGAAATTTAGTATAAAGAATAATTTAAAATTAATAAATTCTAGAATCAAATCCCATATATAGAGTTGTAATGCAATATATTCACTAAAGGATAAAAATAAAAGTTCAATTTATCCTGTATTCATTGAAATTGTTTCCAGACTTCCAGTTTGAAACATATTTACTATGTTCCCCAATCTTTGAAGTTGATACTGATATTTGGTTATTTATTCCCCATGCAAAACCAAAATAATCTTCTATGTCAATTTCATAAACTAACAGTGTTAAGGTCCCACTAAGAATAGAATGAATCACAGCTGAACAAAAAGTTACTGCAAGTCAATTGTATATTCCAGTTTAATAATAATTTCTGTTTACTACTTTAATAAATAGAATGCCATATTATTTGTTATTCTTTAATATAATAATTACACTTTAGGAAAATAAATTACAACACATCAAGCCTCTAAAGCAGATTTTAAAGTTAACGTGAAATGGTTTGTAGTTTTGGAAGAAAGTTCTAAAATAGTGTACCTTATATTCCTTCTTCCAAGCCTCAAAAAGATCCATTGAAACACTTCCTTCATCTACAAACTCAGCGTCAAATCTATGTGATCTTGCAAATGACAGAACTGCTTTCATAGACCGCTCTGTCTCACTGATTGCCCATAGGCCCCGGGTAGTGGTAGGTACTCGATCATCCACCAGTCCTTCCTCATCTTCTATCATTTCCTCAAAGATTGCAGTCTGACCCTTGACTCTGAAAACACACCAGAACAAAGCTACAGTAACTGTGCATAACAAGCACTGCAAACAAGCAGGTAGAACAAGCAGGGAAGCAAGTTCAGCAACCACGCAGCAGCTTTCAGGATCACGCCAAGAAGATCATGCTTGAAGGTCTTCGGGAAAATTCTAAAATGCTGGATGTTTGTTCTGTATTTCTTTTTTGCTTAGTATTGTTGAGACAAGGTCTCCTGTAGCTCAGGCTAGCCTCATATTCACTATGTAACTGAGGCTGTCTGTGAACTGATCCTCTTGCCTCCACCTAGCAAAGGCTAAGACTATAAGTGTGTGCCCTGCCTTGCCAGTGATTCATGAGCACAATCTTGGATAACCAAAATAATCTTTAAATTTCATCAATGAATCTCACTCTGAGAATTAAAAATAAGTTGCCACCATTACTAGCCATAAACAAAGAAAAGAAGAAAGCAACAGTAGCCATTGGTACACAATCAGAGCATAGTCTCTATTTCAAGAGTGTAATTTGCTAATGCCATGGTTACATGCACTAAGCAATGTGATCTCAATGCAAGGATAAAGATTCTGTTGAAAAGTAATAATTAGAGCTAACATTTTTAATCAGGTACGTACTACGTTCTAAGCACTATGCTAAACTGTTATGTATATTTTCTTATTGAATACTTGTAAAAACTCAACAAAGGATGAGTTGCCATCTTCATTTCATGAATGAACATACTGAGGGTTAAAGAGTAATTTGCTCTTTTCAGCGGACAGGGAAACAAGTCCAAATCATCACATTATAAAGAATAGGATCTGAATACTCCTCCCAATTTTCCCTCAACTATAATAACTAAAAAATGCCATTCAATGAACATTTAGGGGTAACTTCTATGTAGAAAAAAAAACTGAGATTGTTAAATGTCAAAGGTTTATTAAATTGATTTAAAAAAGGAAAAGCATACAGAGTAAAGGTCACAGTAGAAACTATAGTCTCATAAAACATTAAATCTTTCAAAATGTTTCCTTTTCCTTGTGGGTAATAATCAGTGAACTTACGTGTTAGAAAATAGCTTGGATTCATACTCTGTGAACAATTCATCTGCTTTACAAAAGACACAGCTGAAAAAGATAACCAGAGAAATATTCAAAAACAAAACCAGCAATCAGGTAATTTTTGAAAGACGCTTACTATTTTGCACATGACAGGGTTTAGAAAAAGAATTAGTTTTCAAGTACGCACTTTGAATTACTTTATTTTTAAAAGAATATATCTTTCTACTTCTGTCTGAATTAAAACTAAAATTGCTTCTATTCAAGAACAATTATTTCTTGACTCAGATAAAATACAACTTAACAGAATGAGGTCATTAACTGCACGATTTCCTCAGTTGCCTACCAGTTGAGAGGAAGTCTGGCTGGTCGCAGGTGGCAGACTGTCGCAGACTCAATAACATCACGGGACGGAGGTCTCTCCAGGTTCTTCACAGCTTCTCTCACTAACTTCTGGAATCTGCTTAGCTCTTCCATTTGTGTTGTGAGTAAGAACTGAAGACCTCTGCAATCATGGAACCTTATTTCCATCACCAGCACCAAAGGAAGAGTAACAAGTGAGCATTGTCAATTCAGAAAATGGCTGTCAAGTATTAATGAAACTGCCAAATTCACACACTTGGTTGAGATTTCCCTTGAGAGTGTGCCCAATGAACTATTAGTCAACATTTGACTCCAGTTCCAGGAGATCCGATGTCCTCCTCTGATCTCTGAGGGAACTGCGCGACATGGTGCACTTACCTATGTGCAGGCAATATACACATTAAATAAAAATAATAAAATATTTTTTAAAAAGATACAATTAAATCTTTAATAAAGCACATAGTATATTCTAGACACTCTGATAAGCATGTCTTTGTAGTTTTAAGAGTTACTAAGGTGCTCATGTTATAAAATAAAAAAACTGAACTACTTAATGTTGCAAAGTTATTATTACAGTTATGTGGCAGAGATACAGGTTAAAATCAAATACAAATGCTTAAAAAAAATACAAAAGACAGGGTAGGGTATATAAACCCAGTGCCTCACATTTGCTAAGTACCACTGAACAATCTGTAACTCCATGGCTTGTAACTATTTTGATTGCTGAAGAATAATTTATACATGTGCATACATGGTTTTATAAGGAAAAAAGAAAACCTAGAATAGTAAGAAATCAGAAACTAGAAAATACAGAGATGACTTTCTTGCTTTTTAGGAGTTTACTCATCCCCTTCCTCTAAAACTATTCAGAAGAGCTTGAACTCCTTCCTGAAGCCTTTGCTAGGATATTCAAATCTATGTTTCTTTTTCTCCATGGAATTTAAGAAAAATATTCATTTTAATAGTTGGTTTATTTTTTATATATTTATATTTCTCAAATTGTTCATGGATTTTTTTCTAAAAAACATGCAGTGAGTACAGAATAATTGCTCAGTAATTTCTTGAATTTTTACAGTCACTTGAATAAAATTTGGTAAGGTATCAAAACCACACAATAAGGTTTTGATATCAAACTTATTAAAAGTTTAAGCTACTCTTCAAAAACTAACTTTTCAAACAAAGGGAAAAAAGTAAGTTCAGAAAGGTTCTCTCTACTAACTCAAATCTGCGTCTTGTGAGTAAGACCTGAGAGCACAACCACAGGGCAGCATTTAACTAGTTTTGGCAATGTTCTCTCTTATAGATTCTTTAAATTAAGAAAAAAAGTAATTATAGGTAACTCATACGCTATACTGTATAGTGGGCACTATTTTAAGTGAGTGCTTTACAAATATCATTTTATTTAATTCTTAGCTTTATAGATCAAGACAGTAAGGCACAGGCCCAAGCCACTTTTCCAAGGACAGCAGAAATGAGAAGTGGGGAAGTGAGTAGACAGAGCAGTTTGGCTGGAGAAACCAGCTCCGGTCTTAATCAATTAGCTACATTCACTGCCTTTCTAATAATCAATAAAATTCAAATGAATTTTTTGGAAAGATCAATTTTATATAAAACATCCAAGTGTGTTAAAATAACCTCTGAATACACAGCAATATTGGGAAATCAACTTAACTATGTAAGATTTGTATTTTTTTTTGTTCTAATAGGAGAATTTACATCTTTTAAGTAAATTTATTTTAAAAAATTAATTAATTTTTATGTGTACTGGTGTTTTGCCTGCAATGTATATAAGTGTACCATGTGTGTGCATTCTGCAGAGGTCAGAAGAGGGTATCAGATACCCTACAACTGGAGTTATAGATGGTTGTTAGCCACTACATGGATGCAGGGAACTAACCCAGATTCTCTGCAAGAGCAGACAGTGAGTGATCTTAACTGCTGAGCCATCTCTCTAGCTCCAGTAAACGTTTTACGTTTTTAGGGGGATTTTTTTTTTGTTTTCGAGACAGTATCCCTGTAGGGCCAGCTGTCTTGGAACTCACTATGTAGGCCAGGATGACCTAGATCTCATAGAGATCTGCCTGACTCCGCCTCTGCCTCCTGACTGCTGGGATTAAAGGCACGTACTGCCACATCTGACTGACTCTCAATGTTTTAAGATAAACAACTTAAAAATAATTTTAACATTTTCTTAGCTGAATCCACAATGCAAATAATGTTAAGATAAAGGTTTAAGATAAAGGTGGCATTCTTTTAGGTAAAAAATTATGATAATCATAGTAAAATACAGGGAAAATATGACAGTTCTCATTCAGTCAACATTTAGAAGAGTTCTGAGGGTCAGTAAATAAAAAGAAATAAAAACTTTCCAAAGAAATTCTTATGCCAAATTTCTTACCAAAAATTATCTTCAATCCCACGGCTGACCCTTACATGGGGATGAGATCTCAAAGGTCATAAAAGATACTCTGTCTCACACATACTTAGAATCAACAGCTCTGTGTCAACTCTTAAATCTCCCGTGAGACAGACATTCCTTTGAGTTAAACCACTAAAGGTACTTTTGATAAAAAGTAAACTTGTTCTTTGGCAAGAACTACTTGCCATTTATTCAAAAAGCAGTACGCCAACTACTCTCAAGACCCTAAAGAATACAGGGTGTTCATAGAAAGATAATGAAGAGAGCAAATAATTCCATAATATACAAGCGTGGGCCACTGTGGCTCTAGATGCTTAAAACTTGGAGACTGAATCACACAAAGAGAGCAGAAATAGCATATATCAAAGACAAAGTCTATTTTAAAACTTTTCTTGAAGTAGGTAATGCATGTATAAAACAATAACCACAAGATGATGACAATGAAGATTGGGGAAAAAAGGTTTTCCAAATGCTCTAGAAAGAGAATATTTTCAAATGGCTAACATTAGGATAAAGGGATTTCTATTTTAAATGTACATCTAATATTTTTGTTTGAAATATACTCAATAAAATGTAAAACCCAGCCCCCAGCCATTGCTAAATACAGTATATTCTGATAACTCACTGTACTTCCTAACCCCAAATAATTTGAACACTGAACTGATCACTAGCAAAGCTCTTTTGTTTTGTGCTTTCTTACTTCTCTGACATAGAGAACTTGTCAGTTTGTTGCTTGTAGTTACAGGTTATTTCATTTCGCACCCTCTGAACAAGTTCCTCATCAACAGAAAATTCCATTGCTCTGTGAATTACATTTAGCCACCAGGGAGAATTAGAATGAATCTGGAAAAAAGGTGAAAGTTGGTAAATTAATATGTCTTTTCAGCATTCAGTGGGAAAGGCAATGTGGAAAATTCAAAGGTATTAATAAATCCAATTCTCAAAGGGACTGTGACAATAGAGGGTGACATATATAATCTGTATACATTGGGAGAATACATTCTCTGGCATACACCATGGGACAACTGTTCTTTTAATTATTCTGGAGGAATGAGAATTTATACAAAATTTGTATAAAAAAGCTGTATTAAAAAGTACTTAGAACATTCAGCACTTTCTGCATAGACTTTAAAAGAATAAAGAAAGCCCTAATTCTAACCTTTGAGTACTGAACTAGACTCCACTGAATAGATAACAAAATTATGATTTTGATACCAAATAACTAATGAAGTAGGAAGATTAAAACGTGGAGCAACTGATTTTAAAATTCTTTTACTTTCCTCAAAAAGACAAACTGTTATACCCTTGGTCAGAGGAATCCATTACAGCTTTAAAGTAACATGGGACCTAAAATTAGCTGATTTATCTATGTAACTGTCCAGCCAACTAACAAACATTGCTAACTGTACATAAGCTTGTATTATGGTATAGATACTCAACCAGGTGCTAAGATTTCTAAGGGAAATAAAAAGTTCAAGCTTTCTTCCAAACTAAACAAATCCAAACTGGCATCTGGGGACAAGCAGGAAGCCTGCATGTCGATGTCAGGGGTACTGTGAGGTGTACCTTCCTTTGGAGCTCTCGGATGGTCTGCTGCACAGGCTGTAAAGCTTGCTGGGCTTCAGCAACTTCTGTGTTACATTTACTCATATAGTGTTCTCTCAGCTGTTTGGCCTGTGGTAAAATAGAAAATAACACAAATTTTCATTTAATGCTCTGAATATTTTAGTTTGATGACTGAGTAACAAGGGGTCACTCCATGTACTTAAAAGTTTCTTAACTTGACTGTGCTAGACAGCGTCAGTTGTTAACTTGACACACCTGGGTGAAGAGAACCTCAACTGAGGAATTCCTTCTATTGGAGTTGCCTATGGCCATGTCTGTAAGGCAGTTTTTGATTGTTGAGTGATGTAGGATGGCCCAGCCCACTGTAGGTGGCACCAACCCTGAGCAGGTGGTCCTGTGTTGCATAAGAAACAAGGGTGAGCATGGGACAGTGGAGCAAGCCAGTAAGCAGTGTTCCTCCATGGCCTGTGCTCCAGCTCCTGCCCTGAGCACCTGCCTTGGCTTTCCTCAGTGATGAGCTGACCTGGGAGTTGTAAGATAAAGTAAACCCTTTCTTCCCCAAGTAGGTTTTGGTCAATGTATTTATCACAGCAATAGAAAGCTAACTAGACATTGATTTAAACATAAAACTCTACTAAAGTCATAAAATTTAAGAAATTCTAAAGATTTATCCCTTATAGGGTGCAATCAGACATCAATATTTTATAAGAAAAAAGATACCTTATAGAATTACTTAACTGATTTAGTGATTACAGTATCATGAAGGGGCTTAAAATAACACTTAAGAATGTACAATTAGGGGCTGGAGAGATGGCTCAGCAGTTAAGAACACTGACTGTTCTTGCAGAAGACCCGGGTTCGTACCCCAGCACCCACATGGCAGCTAACAACTGTCCATAAATCCAGTTCCAGGGGATCCGACAGTCTCTTCTGTCCTCTGCGGGCATTGCATGAAACAGGTGCACTTACCTACATGCGGGCAATACACGAATACACATAAAATAAAAATGAATAAAATACTGAAAAAAAAAGGATGTATAATCAAACAAAAGTGTTAGGAACTGAACCTTGTTCCTACAAAATTCATTATGTTGAGGCCCTAACCCATCATGACTGAATGTGGAGACAGGGTCTTTAAGAAGGTAACTAAGGTTAAGTAAGTCCTTATGGTTAATGCCCTAATCACATATGAATAGTGGAGTCCTTATGAAGAAAGACCCCAGAGATGGATAAGCATGAAGTAAAGGCCATATGAAAAGGCAGCAGGATCTCAATCAGAGACAGGAGCCTCAGAAAAACTAAACCTGTAGGTTTGAGGTAATAAACCTTGATCTCAGATTTCCAACTTCCAGAACCGTAAGAAATAAATTTGTCTGTGGTACTCTGTTATGGCACTACAAGGGAACTAATATAACCAAAATTTTTAAATTTTTACTATTCTTCCAACTTTTGAAGAGAATAGTGATTAAATAATTCAAAATCAAAACATTTTATTCTTAAAAATAGCAAAGTTCTATGCATATAGATTCAACATTAGGAATCATGGAAATTCTTTTTTAAAAAAATATTTTATTTATTGTTTTTATTTTATGTGTATGAGTATATTGCTTGCATGTGTGTAAGTGCACCCGTGTGGAGCAATGTCACGGCCGGATTCCCTGGAACTGGAGTTACCGATAGCTGTTAGCTACTATGTGGGTGCTGGGAATTGAACCTGGGTCCTCTGCAAGAGCAGTCAGTGCACTTAACCACTGAGCCATCTCTCCAGCCCCGAATCATGGAAATTCTTTATACTTTCTTCTATTCATATTGTATGAGAACTAGGCAAGGCAATGATATGGGATCATTGGAAATAGCTACACAGTGAGAACGTTCCTCCTTATAAATACATTTTTCTTCTTCCTGTCATAATCTAACATGAAACTTCATTATAATTCCTTGATTATAACTGTTTGGTCACAAGCGCTGGCTGCTAATAAGTTGTCTCCCAGTGATAATTCTCTGTCACTGAAGGCATTTAGACAAAGATGACTAATGATTTTTAATTGTATTTGTCTGTACTGTGAATGAAATTCTACTTGAAAACTTTCTATTTGTAGACGTCCATCAAACCAAAATCATACCAAAAGCAATCAGACTACAGTTGGGAGAAAATATCTACTAATGACAGATCTGGTAAGGCATTCATATCTAAGAACAGAATACAATAAAAAAGTAGCCAAGAGGACTGGAGATGGCTCAGTGGTAAAGAGCACTGGTCCCTCTTTCGGAAAACTCAGGCTCTGTTTTCGGCACCCACATAGCAGCTAACATCCATCTGTAACTACAGTTCGAGGGGATCTGATGCCCTCTTCTGGTATCCTCAGGCATTGCAAAAGACATGGGTATACTTACATGTAGGCAAAACACTTATACATAGAAAATAAAAATAAAATAATAAGTAAGTCATGTAAGTAATTAATAAAATAGTCAAGAAAGTAGCTATGATATTTCTCCAAAGAGAACATAAAAAAGGTCAACAGGAGGTATATAAAGATACTCACTATCACTAATCACCACAGCAAAGAAAGTTAAAACTAGAAGGATCTCATGGAGAAGAAGGGAAGGGGGCAGTGAAAAGGGGAAGGAGAGCAGAAGGGGAAGGTAGTAATGACAAGGGAGTTGATTTGAATGGAATGTGTACACTTTTCTTTCACTATTTCCTCAACACTGTACTTACATAGTATTTACATTGTATTAGATAGAATAAATAAAAAATTATAATAAAAATAAAACCATATGAAGATACTTAGGATGGCTACTATCAAAAAGAGACAACTAGTGTTGGCGAGGGGATGGAAAAAAGACAACTCTTGCATACTGTTGGTAGGAATGTAAATTAGCATAGTCATCATTAAAAAAAAAAATAAGACAACCTAAAACAGAGTACTGCCATATTGTCTAGCAATCTGAGTTCTGGGTATATATCCAATGGAAATGAAACCAGTATATTGAAGAGATTAGTCTCATGTTTATTAAGCATTATTCATTCATAATAGTGAAGACACAGAATCAACCCAAGTATTCATCAACTAACTCATGAATGGATTAAGAAAATACGGTAAGGGGGCTGAGGAAATGGCTCAGCAGTTAAAGAACCTGTCACATAAGCAAGAGGACCAGAGCTCAGATCCCTAGAACACACATAAATGCTACATGATTCCCCTGCAAGTCCAGTGTTGGAAAGTGGAGACTAGGATTCCCAGAGCAAGCTGCTTGTGAGACCAGCTGTTATTAGTGAGCTCAAGGTTCGACTAAGAGACCCTGCCTCAAAGACTAAGATGGAAAGCAATCAAGAAAGATTCCCAACATCAACCTTGGGCCTCCACACACAAGCACTCATATGCACATGCACTTGGAGACACATGTGTGCTCATATATGAGAGAATGCACATACACACTGCACACACAGACATATGGAAAGAGTGAAAAGAGACAAAAATATGTATATAAACACAATGGCATATAGTATAGTTCAGTCTTCAAAAAGAAGGAATTGTTATTTACAAAAAGAGATGATCCTGGAGGACCTTATACTAAATAAAACAATTCAGGCACAGAAAGATGCAGGCTGAATGATCTCACTAGATGTAGAATTTTAAAAAACAAAATTCATAGAAACAGAGAGTAGAATGTTGGTTACCAGGGGATGGAGATACTGGGGGGTGCTAGTCAAAAGATACAATAGTTTCAATTAACCATGAGAAATTAACCCAGAAACATCAGTATACAACTATGAATACAGTTATGAGCAATATGCTACTGAGACTTTTTAAAGTGTTTTATTTATTATTTTATGTGAATGAATGTATTTCCTGTATGTATGTAAGTGCACTTGTGTCATGTAATGCCCGTGGAGGTCAGAAGACGGTGTTGGATTCCTTTGGAACTGGAATTACGGACAGTTGTTAGCCGCTGTGTGGGTGCTAGGAATTGAACCCAGGTCCTCTGCAAGAGCAGCCAGTTCTCTTAACCACCTAGCCATCTCGCCAGCCCCAAGAGTAAATTTTAAATATATAAAAATTAAGTATGTGAGGTAATGAGGATAGATTATTTATGTTGAGTTAGCCACTTCACATTACTATACACATCAAAACATCATTTTGTACACTAAAATACATGTAATTCTGTCAATTAAAATAAGTTATGTGAACAAATATAAAGGGCTGTGCATACTTGTAATGTTTTATCTTGCTAATTTAAATAAAAGCTCCACTTATAGGTTCAATATATTTCATCCACATGTACTCTTTTGATTTTAGCTTTGCTCTTTCTCTTTGATCTTAAAAAAGGCAAAAATCCTTGGGAGAATAAGCAAGCTATTAACAATTTGAAGCAAAATAATTTATACTATCACTCCTTTCAATGAGAGGCAACACTTACTGAATAGGAAACTTTTTTGAGAGAAATACCACTGAAAATTTGAGTCCATTTGTTAGTTTGGTAACATGCAGCAGGGCAGTCTTGCTATAGAATCGAGGTCTCTTTTTCATTTGTCAATTATTAATCCACTATCTGCAAGAAGCAGTTATCATGACTATGAGTAGATAACAGACAAACAAAATAATATGGTGTATGACATTCTCTGCCATCCCAAATCACCATAGCAAGGTCTGGAACATCAAAGCAAAAGGAAAACATGGCTGGCTACATTCATTAAATGTTATGAGACAGAAAGATCAACTACATGGAGCTTAGAATTTAAGGAAGTAAACTTTTATAGAAAAATGAAGAAATAACAATTACCTCTTCTTCAAGCCTGCTGTCTCGCAAGGTAGGAGGTATCCCTGGGTGCTTGGCTACTAAGAGCTCCATTAAATTATGTGTGGCATGAAGTCTCTACAAATCCATAAAAGGTGAAAATTAAGACAAGCAATGCAGAACCTATAACATACAGAGCACAAACTCTTAAGTTTATATTGACAAATACTGTACCTCTGAAACAATTTGAGTACCATTTTTCCCTAGATAAAAATGAACAGTAAAGGTGTTAAATCATAATGGACACAAATTTTCTTCAATTAAAAATTCATGCACTTTTGAGTATGGCTACTGTGCTGGACAGCTTTAATGTCAACTTGACACACCTGGGTTGAGGGAGCCTCAATTGGGGGAATTGCCTCTATTGGACTGGCCTATGGCCATGTCTGTGGGGCATTTTCTTGATTGTTGAGTGATGTGGGAGGGCCCCTGGGCTGGTAGGCCTGTGTTGCTTAAGAAAGCAGGCTGAGAAGGGGTCAGGGGAGCAAGCCAGTAAGCGGTGTTCCTCCAGGGCTTGTGCTTCAGCTCCTGCCTCCAGGTTCCTGCCTTGAGTTCCTATCTTGGGCTTCCTGATGAATTGTGACCCAGGAGACTCAAGACAAAATAAGCCCTTTCTTCCCTAAGTTGGTATTGGTCAGAGTATTTTGTCACAGCAATGGAGAGACAAACTAGGACAGCTATGTTCTTAGCGTACACAGTATAGGCATACTTTTATTTTTTTAGCTGTACAACTGAAGTCTACGCAAGGACGTATAAGAATCTCAAGTAAGTTCAGTAATGCAGAAGGGCTGACTGCACCAATTTGACTCCTTTTCTAGAAAATGAGTCTGAATGGGTATTTCAATACTATGCAAAAAATATGTAACAAAATTCCTAAGAAAAGAAGGTTGGTACTTGAATATGTTGCACTTATAGAATGAAAAGGGGGAGAAGCTAGAATTGAAGAGATTGGACCAAGGAGGAGTAACTTTGTATCTCTGTATCTGATACACATAATATACTTCCCACTGAGAGTCTACAACTGGTTAGAGGTTCCCTCTGGAGTCAGAGGCAATGAGAAAAACTGAAATGAAAGAAGTTTTCAGTTTAAATTAATATTTTACCTGGGAAGATAGCTAGAAGCTAAAAGACGATTAGTGAAGAGTTCTGGTAAGACCTGATTTGGTATCAGTGATTTTAGCCTTTCAAGGTTCAGTCTGTCTGGCTACAGATTACTGGCCATGGTACAACTCTTTTCAGGGTCTATGTTACCTCAAGTCTTAGGTCTTCAACATGGCTTCTTAAATCATACAATGAGTACTGTTAGGTTTAACAATAAAAGAACGGTGCAAATGACTTGAGAAACTCATTTCCTCTTTACTCTTGTGTCTGTGGAAGACCTACTATTTTTGTACAAGTGGTGAGATGGGAAGATACTTGTGGCCAATTTCTACCCCTGTTCACATTTTATTCCAGTGGCACAGCATGGCTAACCTGACTGAACAGAGTAACGATTCAGTTAGCCATGTTTTACCAGTCAGTGGAGTTGTTACTGAAAAGCAAGAACCAGCCTGAGAGCTCATTCTTCAATTCTGAACTCAGGCATTCAGGACTTAAATCTGTCTCCTTGCTTGTCCTTCTATTTTTATTTCTATTATTCAAGAATGGAATATCTTTGTATGTTTTCCCTTTCCCATGGGGGAAACACGTTTAAGGTCCATGTCCTACCTTCTGTTATTCTTTAAGAATGGGAAGTAAACATTCATTTGAACTTTCTCAGTGCCCAACCCAGTCCAACAAATTCTTCCGAATACCCACTGCATCACATATGAAAACACAAGTCCCAGAGTCTTTATTTGTAAGTGAAAAGTCAACTTATATAAGATTCAAGTCTAAACTTGCCAAGATTAGTAACAGTCATCTTTATATCTCACTTACTTAAAATCTCATCTACAATCCACTGGGAAAGAGCAAGTGTTAGAATTCAAAAATGCAAACCATCCTAAAAGACCTCTATAAGTTAAATTAAAAAAATCAACAGATAGGCTTTATTTGGTCACTTTCACTACCAGAATATGGCTCATTTTCTTTCCTTTTTGACAAAAAATCATTTGAACAAATACACTGGTATTAACACAGAAACTTATAAAATTGGCTTATCTCTGTTAGAACTATTTTTCCAATGTAGGGTATAAGCCTGCACAGACAAAACAGTGATAATTCTCAAAGTTTATTAAAAATCATCTTAGGGACGTATTAAAAAGACCGAATTCCAAGTTTTACCTTTAGTAAATTATGACTTTGTTATTCTTTAACATTCTGAAAAATGATTTTAATATTTTATTTATTATTTTATATGTATGTGTGTATTGCCTGCATGTGGGTAAGTTGTGCCTGTGTCGTGCAATGCCTGCAGAGACAGACGAGACTGTTGGATCCTCTGGAACTGGAGTTATGGATAGTTGTTAGCTGCCACGTGGGTGCTGGGATTTGAACCCGGGTCTTCTGCAAGAACAGTAGTGTTCTTAACCACTGAGCCATCTCTCCAGCCCCCAAATAATTTTGTTTAAAACAATTCAAATATATACTTGGAACTTTTTAGTCTGCACTTACTTGAAGTGAATCAGTTTTGAGTTTTCCTTTGTGCTCCTCAGATGAGCGCAGTACTTCTCTATACAGTTCCGCTGCTGAAGCAAACTCACCTAAGAAACAAAATGTGTTTAAAGTTCAGAAACTCCTAATGTTACCTATTTATCATCAATCCACAAATCTATATCACAAAATATGAAACTCATTTTATCATTATTATTATTACTATCATTATTATTGATTTTTGGTGCTGAGGAGGAACGCAGGGCTTTTCACATGCTAAGCCAAGTGCTCTACCACTGAAATGAATTACCCTGTAATTCACTATTTTTATAAGTAAAAAAACTGTAGCTGGTGGGGATGATTATTCGTTATTTTAAAAAATATTTTATTATTTTTATTTCATATTATGAGTGTATTAACGAAATGTATGTAAGTGTACCCATGTCATGCAATGCCTGCAGAGGCCAGAAGAGGGTTCTGGATTCCCCTGGAACTGGAGCTGCTATGTGGGTGCTGGGAATCAAACCTGGGTCTTCTGTGAGAGCACCCAGTGCCCTTAAACACTGAGCAATCTCTCCAGTCTCTCAGTTATTTTTTAAAAGGTGATTACAACTCTTTTTTTTGTAATTCCACACAATATATTTATTATATTTACATTTTCTCAATTTATTCTAACATATATTTAGGATAAAATATATTTATAGTATCCTAAAATAAAAATAAAAACCAGACTGGATTAATTTATTTTAGAAAAGTAATATTCTTACTTACGCTAAAGATAGACAATTACTATTTATTATGTTTTGAAATTAAGGACAAATTTGTGATACAGGCATTTATTAGCAAGGCATTTATTATTCAAGGCACTCTGGCCAATTTACACTAAATTATTTTTAAAATATTTTATTACTTTTACTTTGATTTTTTTGTGTATGAATGTTTTGCCTGCAAATGTTTAAGTGCACCTGTGTTGTGCAATGCCCGTGGAGATCAGAAGGTAATGTTGGATCCCCTAAAACTGGAGTTAAGGACAGTTGTTAGCCTCCATGTGGGTGCTGGGAATTGAACACGGGTCCCCTGCAAGAGCAGACAGTGCTCTTAACTGCTGAGACATCTCTCCAGTTTCTACACTAAATTCTTGATGGGCAGTAATTCCTATCATGAGGCAAAGAGATCCAAAGGTTCACAGAGCCTAAAAGATTCTCTTTTTTCTATCAGAGAAAGCTGGTAACAACTGAAGAAAAAGAAAAAAAATCAATTTTGGTGGCTTACATAATAGAATCTGCTTTATTTGCTGCTGGGGGGCGGATTTTTAAACTAGTAAATTATAAATAAAAGTCTAAAGGCAGAAAAATCATGAACTACAAAAAGGGTGTAGAAAACCAGGTATGGTGGTACATGCCTTAAATCCCAGCACTTGGGAAGCAGAGGCAAGGGAAGCTCTGTAAGATCAAGGTCAGCCTGGTCTATATAGTGAGTTCAAGGTGGGCTGTGGCTATGGGAGACCCTTTCAAGAAACAAAACAAAACAAAAAAGCCAAAAAGAGGTGTAGAAGATAATCTATTCCAGTGTCTTTGCCAAGAAGGAATGTTATTCTTTTCTGATTATCAGATACTCCTGCTTAAAAAAAAAAACAAAAAAAACCCTTTAATTTTATTAATCATGTAGTTGTATTTATAACCATTATCAATGTTCTATACAGATGTGTATACTTTTGTAAATTTGAGTTGGCTTTCTTTCCTCTCTCCTTTTAAACACACACATACTCTCTTCTTTCTCTGATAAATACCTGTAATATAAAGCTTTCTAAAACATATTTCACAGTATTGAAGAGTCAGTTCATTTCTCTTCAGTCTGATGAAAATATTTTCACAAAATAAAATCACATGACATAAAGTAGAAGCAACATTCAATTATCTTTATGCAGGGAATTCTTCAGTCTTCTAAGAATTTTATTTATTTATTTATTTATTTCATTTATTTATTTAGAGACAGGGTCTCCCTCCCTATTTAGCCTGAGCTAGCCTTGAATTCCCAAACCTCTTGCCTAAACTTCTCTAATACTGACTGGGATTACAGGGATGTGCCTCCAGGCCTAGCTTTAGTTTTTGATATCACTGATTACTGCCACTCAATAGGTATATGAAAACAATTAGTATTATAAGGGACAATTCACTTAATAAATTTCCCTTTTAAAGGAATTATAGTAACTAGACTATAATATAAGTAGCTGAATTTGAACTCCTCATTGTAATATCTGGTTTATGTATATTAAGATACTTGCTGAGGAAGACACAAAATAGGTAATGTTAACAAGTTTTACACATTTAAGCCAAATTTGGAAATATATTTTTTCAGCCACTTGGTGGCACTAGCATTTTCACCCTCTTGTATTAGATTTGAAAGTGTCAAGCTCATTTTTTCCAAAGAGTATCTGTAGAACCATGCTGTATAAATTCAGAACAATACCACATGTTTCATAGCACAGTCACTGAAGATTTAAAATATTTATTATGTATCATATAGTTTTCATATAATATTAGCAAATATTTCTAGAGTTTGAGAGTAAGTTTAGATTTCTCTTATAATTCAATCTTTACCGACTGATTTCTGTATTACAAGAGTCTAAATCTAACTAGCATTAATTGCTATAATTCTACCCACAGATAGACAAGAAACTACAGCAAAAATGCAATGGAAACCCCCTGAAAAGAGCAACGGTGTAGCTTTGGTCTTGCAACAGCATGGTGCTCTCCTGTGCAGGAGTTAACTACACATTCACAACTATTTGGAAATGATCAGATGAGGTTTTCCCAAATCCTAACATCAGGGCAGGGAGAGGAAACATTAAAACGAAAGAGAGACTATCTAAGCCTTTGAGTTATAACAACATAAAATGAAAGGAGAACCAGGTGGGATGATGCATGTCTGTAACCCCATCACTAGAACTCACTATGTAAATAAGGCAGGCCTCCAGTTTGCAGTACTCTTTCCACCTCTGACTCCCAAGTGCTGCAGTAACAGGCATGAGCCACCATGCCAGATACTAGCTTTGACCTTGAGGAGGAAACGAAGCCCACCTGAATGTGTTTCCTTAAGTAAAAAGGAATTAATAATTACCCAATCATTAGGCAATTTATGAGAATAAAATAACACATATGTCATGAATAACATAAAATACTTAGAAAAGTGAGTATTTCTAGCTGGACATCTATAATCCCAACTTGCTTCAGGAGGCTGAGGAAAGAGAACAAATTTGAGTCAAGACTAGGCTAAATAGCCAAGTTCAAGGTCAATTTAGATAGAGAATCTACTTTAGGGGTTAAGGATGATCATTTCTGAGAGGGGGTGCTAGATTTTAATCATTGAAAGTACTTAAATAGTATATTTATTATTCATACATTTTAAAGGACAAGAATACATATTTCCATTTGTAATAGTCAAATAATCTACAAATCCATATCACAATTACTCCACAAGATTAAATTGGTACTGTGAAAAGCTGGTATTAGACATGACACCTTTTCCTAATTTTCACTTAATTCTGTACCATGTGGTATAAAGGAAAGTTCAATTATAAAACTCTTCATTGGCATTGCCTTGTGTATTTAGTCTTTATAGATTTTAAGGTCTTTCCTTATAGATTTTAAGGTCCCGTTTAGACTGATGCTTGGAATCCCACACAGTCATGATGTGCTTAGCAACAATGATGCCATGAGGATCATATCAAGGAACATCTGGGTGCACAAACTTAACCCAATATGCCTTTATATGACAGAATGCATGAAATTCTGTGGGGTGGGGGATATGAAAGAGTACAGGTAGGTGAGGGGTTCTAAATATGATTAAGATGTATTGTATGAAATGAGAAAAATTCAATTAACACCTCAGAAAGAAGATTTTCTCACAAAGTTGAAGGTGTCATATCTGAACAACTTATTAGCAATGTATCTTTTTGTCCTATTGACACAAAATTTGCATTGTGAACAAGATAATACCAAGAATCTGAGATTAACTTCATATAATAATCACATGAATATTAACAACATGATGAAAATGTTTCTAAGAAGCTTTCAATGTGTCTCCCCTACTTCATAGTTAAGAACGGTATTTCTTTAAATTAAAAAAAAATTTAATGTGTCTGAATGTTTTGCTTGTGTTTATATAAATTCAACAGTGCATTCAATGTCCACAAAGGCCAGAAGAGGGCATTGGATGCCCCTGGTACTGGAGTTGCAGACAGCTGTTAACCACCATGTATGTGGGTGTTGGGAACTGAACCTGGGTCCTCTGCAATAGCAACCAGAGTGCTTTCATCTCTACAGCCCCAAGAATGATACTTATTGAAGGAGGCAATGCAAGCAGAATTCTTTTTTTTTTCTTTTTAAAAATACTTATGTGAGCCGGTGTGGTGGTGCACACCTTTGATCCCAGCAGAAGTGGGCGGATCTCTGTTGAGTTCAAGGCCAGCCTGGTCTACACAGTGAGTTCCAGGCCAGCTACCGGGAGACCCTGTCTCAAAGAGACAAACAAAACAATTATGTATATAAGTGTTCTGCCTACATGTGTTATGTGGACCACGTGCGTGCAGTGGAGGTCAGCCAAGAGGGTGTCAAATCCCCTGGAGTTACAGAGGGCTGTGAGCCACCATGTAGGTGCTGGGAATGGAACCTGGGTCCTCTGCAAGAGCAGCAAGTACTTAAACCGGTGAGCCATTTCTCAAAGCCCCACAAATGCTGCTTTTTATAATTTAGTTGATAAAGAACTGTGATCTAGACATTCTGAATAAACTCCAAATAGCAGTAACAAATAGAGGCAAGAGATTCATATTTATCAGTTTTTGTCTAGAGTTTCTTTTACCCAGCTTTTGAGTTTCCGTCTAGTTCTCCCCAAAACCCAGGAAAATAACAGACACTTTGTATTTCTGGTTCTGCCACACTGAAGAATAAGTGGGGTTAGTTAGAACATTACACTCTAGATAGAGTATAACCTATTTCTCTGCATAAATTATGTGTGTGTGTGTGTGCACAAATTATTTTTGTGTATGTGCTCATGTGTTTGTGCAGGTATGTGTGTGAATGAAGGTGCGCATGCATGTGTGGAGAGGCCAGAAGATAACCTAGGCTGGCCACTGTGCCTGAGGCACTGTCTACCTAATTTTTGGACAGGTCTCTTCACTGGTCTGAAGCTCACCAAGTAGGTTAGTCTGGATGGCCTGTCTTTGCCTCTCTAGTGCTGGATTACAAGAATGCACTATGACGCCCAACTTTTTTTCTTAGCACGGGTTCTGGGGGAAATTAAACTCAGCTCCTTATACTTACAAGGCAAGTACTTTACTGGCTGAGCTACCTCCCCAGCCCTGTACAGATGATTTTTTTGAAGTTCTTACTGTATAAATGAGAACAGCTGTAATGTATGACTGTGCACCAAAATAGACTAGTATATTAGTAACCCTCATGGTATTTGAACAGATGAAGGCTACTTGTGGGAAGAGAGAAAGGAATGTCATTATCATGAAATGGCTTTCTAGCTCAATCACTATGAAGCAGATCTCTTATTAGCAGGAGTTATATCCCAAAGCCCTTCCCCTGCCAGTGGATGCTGGATGGTGTACAGTACTGAACCATATGTATTTACTGTGTCTTCTTAGGTACACATACCTATGGTCAAGTTTAATTTATAAGTTTACATGGGAAATTAATAAAACCAGTAATATAAGAGAACTATAACTAATAATTTTTAACAGGTGTAAGTGCTATAAATTTCCCTTAAATTTACTGATGTGCTGCACCTCACAAATCTTATTTTGTTACTCACTTCCAAATACTTCCTAGTTCCTCTGTTAAATTATTCTTTTTGGGTTTATATGTTGTTGTTTTGTTTCTGTTTTTTTTTTTTTTTTTTTTTTTTTTTTTCTTTTGAGACAGGGTCTTCCTGCAGCCCCAGCCTGGAACTCAATATGTAGATCAGGCTGGCCTCAATCTCACAAGAGATCTATCTGCCTCTGAGTGCTGTGATTAAAAGCATGTGCCATCACTTCTGTCTGAATCATTCTTTATACTGCTAATCAGAGTATTTTTTAAATTATTTCCAAATACTTGAAGTCTTTCCAGTTAATTTTTATTGCTATCTAATTTTATAAAATTACATTTATATATGGGGTGGGAGGAGGTACATGCCCTGGTACATGTATATTATTCAGAGAACAACTTAGGGGAATTGGTTCTCTCCTTCCACCATATGGGTCCCAGGGACTGAACTCAGGTTGTCGGACTTGGCAGGAAGCACCTTTACCCTTTGAGCCATCTCATCCATCTTTGATACCTAATTTAATTCCACTATGGTAATAAAACATGCATGTATTGTATACATTATATATTTATTGATGTATTTTATATCCTAGAATGTGTCCTGTCTTGGTAAATTTATTTTCTATGTATATTCAAAAGTGTACATATTCCTCTTTCATTTGGAAAAGTATTCACTGACTAGATCACTTGGTTGATAGGGTTGAGTTGTCCAAGTGTTTATTTCTTTTCTGTTTACTCGTTCTGCAGGGTTGAGAGAGGGATACTGACATACCCTGCTACAATTGCAGAAATCTCTATTTCTTGTAAAAGGCCTATCAGTTTTTGTTTTACCTACTCTGAAGTCGTGGTTTCAATTGCACGTATTTGGAATTTTCTTTTTCAAAAGATTCATTTGGTGATGTTCTTGACTCTGAAATCTATTTTGCCTGAGTAGTATAGTTAGCCTACTTTTTGGTTAGTATGAACATGACATATATTGTGTATCTTTTCTCTCCTTTTCATATTTATATCTTTGAACAAATGTGGGCTTCTTAGAGATAGCATATTGCTTCAGACTGCACAGATTCAGTATGATAACCTCTGCCTCTTGACTTGAGTATTTAGAATGTCACATTTGATGTGACCACTGACATGCTCAGGTACACAGTCACAGTTATTTTCTAATTGTTTCATCTTTGTTTGGTTTGGTTCCCCCCTTTTTCCTACTTTCTAAATTGAATTTTAAAATTCTTTTATCTCCTTTGGGTGATTATTTCACATTAAAATTTTTATTTATTTATGAATATTATAGGATATATAGCATATATCAATGACTTTTCAAAGTTTACCTTCAGCTGGGTGTGGTGGCACATGCCTTTAATCCCAGCACTCAGGAGAAGGAGGCAGGAAGACCTCTGTGAGTTTGAGGTCAGCCTGGTCTATATAGCAAGTTCTAGGTCAGTTGGGGCTACAGGGAGACCATCTCAAAAAGACCAAAACACCCAAAAAAACAAAACAAAAAAACCCCAAGGAACATCTGGGAACACTAACTTGACTCAACAGACTTTACCACAAATGACAGAATGCATGAAATCCAGTGGGGGGTGGGGGTAGAGGACTATGGGAGGGGGCCAATAGGAAGGGGGTATAAAGATGATTAAGATGTTGTATGAAATTAAAAGGGATGACAGAGTATATGGGCTCCAGTGATGGTGGTGGGGCTATGGGAGTGTGCCACTCAAGATATGGGTATAAAGATAAATAAAGATGATTAAGATGTTCTGTATGAAATACACAAATATTCAATAAAAAATTACAAAAAACCTACTATGACTCTATATACTTATTTCCTCTTCAAGGAATATTTTTATATTAGGCCATTTAAAATTGCCCATCATTTCACAGATGAGGTTTTCAAATCTTTCAGACTTTATTCTGGGCTTAATGTTGAGTAGCTTCTATTACTATTCCACACTTCAATGGCATTGATCTTCTGCAGTCTTAAATCTTCTATTTATTCAAAGTGTATTTTTAATATCAGACATTGAAAACTTCACCTCTAGTAGTCAGTCTGGTTTTGTTTTCAAGCTCTACTTAATATTTTTCATGTTTATTCTTGAGTTTATTAGGAACACAGTTCTAACTACTTCATGGAAAGGTGACTACTAAGTATGCTTATTAAAAGAAAGCACCAGTTATATAACCTTGACTTCCAAATAGGACAGAGTAATGTCAAGAATATTTAATTTCCTTCTTGAGACATCTCAAGTATAGACAGAATACATGAAATGACATTTTATAGACATCAGACACAAATCAACAAAAATAAGTGATTCATGACAGATGAGAAACAACGAAGTACACAGCCTTCCATGCAAATACAAGAGGCTTTTTCTTACCTGCTTTAGTTTTGTACATACTACATAACTTGGTAATTTTACACACATGTGTATCTATGGATGTATGGGTTTATCACCTTCTGGTAGAATTTAAGGTCCATAAGATCTGAGACTTTATATCATCTTTTCTAGACCATTCCTCAGATACATACGACGTAAAAGATGAATTCATAACATCATTTTTGTTTTTTGAGACAGTCTCTCCCTTTAACCACAGCAGGCCTGGAACTATGTAGACCAGAATGGAATGGATATCACAAAGATACGCCTGCCTCTGCCTATAGTGTTAGGATGTGTGCCACCACGTCGGCCTATAATATTATTAAAAAAAAAATTAATTTATAATAGTCCAATGAATATATCAAAATTTAATGATTCTTCTATTTCTAGGCATTTTGGTTGTTTTTGATTTTACATTTAAAGGACTAAGATTAACATCTTATAGCCAAATCTTTGTTCATACTCTAATTTTCCTAAAACCAACAGAAATGGTTCAAACTGCACAAAGCATACGTAAACTGAATGTTTTTGAAATGTTCTGCATAACGGGACCTATTTAAATTACTTATAATCAGCAGTGTGTGAGGGCACCACTGTGGAGAGATACTGATTCTGACTATAATTAATCTTCCTGAGAAAGTATTTGAAGAATCAGAGATGAGAAAGCAATCACCTTCTACCTTTAATGATATGAATGCCTGCTAAGCCATTGAGGGCACACACTAGCTGGCGATGGGCCTCTTCGCATTCAGTTCCACATTTCTTTTGCAAAGATGTCAGCAACTCTTCCATTGTCATGGTGCTAAAAGAAAAGGCAGATTTTTCAAAACTAGAAAGAGAGCCCTGTGTTCTCTCAGCAGAAGTGACATACAATGCTGGGTGAGGAGCACAGGACTCCCACAGTGTTTGTGCAATGTCTTCAGCATTTTCTCTTCATCTTTGGTTTTTGTTTTTAAAGATTCTTTTAGTTATGTATATGTATATGGGAGAAGGTACCTGTACCACATGTGCAAAGGTACCTGAGGAGGTCAGAAGGTGGCACCACATTTCCTGGGGGCTGGAGTTACAGGCAGTTGTGAACCACCTGACATAGGTGCTAGGATTCTAACTTGGGTCCCTCTAGAAGAGCAGCAAAAGCTTTTAACCACTGAGCCATTTCTCTAGCCCCTTTATCTTCAGTTTTACCATTATCGCTTTTACCTTAATTATTTGTTGCTAACCAGGAAGCATTCTTCTATCTGATATACCATTCTTTTAAGCTTTTCCCATTTTATTCAAAGGAGAAAGAACTACAAAAATCTTCCTTAAGTACAAAGTACAATATGATCTTCTGTTTGAAATAATATGGGGATTATAGGGTAAGCCTGGGTGGGAATGAATCCCAGCATTACAAGGTAATGAACCCTGTGCTTCCCTGATGGGCTTTTATTTGTAAAATTAAAAACGGTAATATCAAAAAAAAAGGATCCTTCAAGGGTAAAGTCACATGTCATTTGCACCAGAAGGCTGTCTAAACTTCATCACTTAAACAGAAGCTGTTCCCATTGCAATCTGTATGTAACTCTTAGAACTTTTATCATGTTCACCTTACCTTGAACAAACCTATTGTCTTCGCTATTTCCTGTTGTCTATCTACTTAAAGGCAAGTGCAAAATGTAATCCTCTTTAAATCTTATGACACCTGACAGGTTCTTCTACTACCAGGTACTTAAAAAGGTAGGCTGTTAAAGAGCAGTCTAATTCACACGAAAAAATCCTGGAGCAACAGGAAATATCAAAAGGACATAGTTAGCACAATTGTGAAGAAAATATGTAATGGTACTCTACTTCCTCACATAGGAAACCAGAAATATAATATTTAATAATTGGAATACAGGAAAAAATCTTCCCCCAAACCAAAAATGCAATAAAAATGAAAAACTCGTACAATAGTCCAAATTTGCTAAATATCATCTATTATCAACCAAGGAAAAGGAAAGTAGTAATAAAACCTTTTCTGGAGTGGCAGAAACTCCCCACGAACCGCCTGAGGATGGCAACAGGCCTGCCGGAGCCTCAGTAATGGGTACAGGATGGAGGTGACAGTCCTTCTGTCCAGACTGCTGAGCTTCAGGGCCCAGTCAGAAATCTTCCTGAGTTTCACCACAGCATCCTGGCAGCACACCTCATGCTGGCGGTGATAGAAATGTCTCTCCACCGGAGCAAAGTGGAGCCAGTGTACTTCTTCAGTCTGAGGAGGGATCTGTATCTGCAAAGAAAATTTGGAAATAAAACAATTTCACCTGAAATTTTACCTTTTTTTCCCCAACTGTGTTTTTTTCCTTACAAAATTTTGGCATACTGACTTGGTCAATGACATCTTTCTTTGCAGACCTCCACAGTATCTTGGCAATGAAACTGTAGAGGTGCTGAGGATTCTTCCTGCAGTACGGGTGATAGAGAAGTCGAACCCACCAGTGTTTGACACAGTAGGGTTCGATACCAAGAAAGACTACCAGTCCAAAAAGATCTGAAAGGAAAAAGCCAAAACACACTGAAGATAACCATTTCTGGAAGGCTTCGTTACTATTCCAAATAAGCACTTTCACAGATACTACAAAGCACATACACTGTATTCTTCCATGTATTAAAATGCTGTGAGTTTGAGGCCAGCTGGGGCTACAGGAAGACCCTGTCTCAAAAAGACCAAAAAAAAAAAAAAAAAAAAAAAAAAAAAAAAATGCAGACTGTACACTCTTAAATCTGAACATTTAATTTCAACTCAATTTATACTTCCTGAGAATCTGCTGTGTTCTAGGTTTTGTTCTAGTCATTAAAATATTGTAAAATGTATAAAAACTACTTATCTGGATATGCTTAAGATACAAGCATTTAAGCAAGATTTGTTAGATCAGAGAAAAAAAACTTATCAAATATGTAATGTGAACAATATGCTCTAATCTAATAGTCTTAATAGTCTTTCACCTAGTAATTCCATTTCTAGGAAACTAGCTTAAGACAAGAATAAAACATACACCGAAAATTTACTCAGTGAATCATAACAACAGGCAGAATAAAAATGATTCAAAAATATGTAAATTATGGCACTGTCATAATATAAAACCATTTTTGTTTTCTGATCAGGCAGGCCTTCTACTACAGTTGCAGGTACAATACTCTCGATGTGTCTCTTGATTGGGCACACTCAATCTTCTATTTCATGTCTTCCACTTAATGTATCATGTGCCCCAAATAGTTTTTTACAGACTGGTATTTGAGATCAATTTTTTAACATATGGGAAATGGTTTAAAATATATGTTATGTGAAAAAGAAAATTAACTGCATATACTGACCTGAAATATAAAAATATCATACAGAAACATGATGCAGATTTGTCTTCAAATGAAGAGTACAGATGAGTATAAATTTCTATTTCATTAATTTGAAAAATAATGGGCATATATTCTGTTCAAAGGAGTAAGAATTATTTTAAAAATACCATGATTACATATAACATCTATTTGAAGATGACCAACAAACACTTTAGGTTGAAGTTGTATATATTTTGCAAGGTCTTGCTATGTAGCTGAATTAAGTTACTTTGACAGCACATGGGAATTAGTAACACAAGGAAGAACAAATTTTCAGTTTATCTGCAGAGATCACAGGTTTGGTTTGGTTCACATCAATCCAACTGTTTATGTTCTACTTCTTTGAGGGCTCTAAAGCCTCAAACTCTATCTGCCCAAAACAATTCATAAATAATCTTCTTGTCCAAATGTGCTTTTCTTCTAGTTATTCACTGATGAATGTGCACGTGTCAATCTTGACGTATCCTGATGTATCACTACACCTTGTAAATTTTTTTCATCCATTTTTCTATTTCTCTGAAACAATCTAGTGCAAATCTTAGATTTACTTGTTTAGATCATATTGTAGCTGAAGCAATATCCACTTTGCTCTCTTCTAAACCATTTCCACACTGCACTAGAGTGATCTTTTGAAAGAACAAGAACAATCACAGTCTAAATCCTTTCAGTAGTTTTCATCTTTTATAGGATTCTAAATTAAAAAAAAATACTTATTATAGTCTAGAAGGTCCTTCATGATCTCATCTATAGCAACCTGTCCAGTTTCTCCATGCACTCATTTCCCTAGTTCTCTGTACTTTAACCACACTGACACCCTTTAAAGGTCTCCTGCTGCTGTATGACTTTCACATTTTCAGCTCCTCTATGACAGAGAACTCTTCCCTCCTCTTTTCACCTGATAATATTTAAGATCTCAACTCAGCTGTCACTTCCTTCAGTATCCCTTATTATGAAATTTGATTTGCTTATAACTTTATATTTTCCTCAATTATGCATGTTATTTTCATGGAAAATTAACTTTTGTCTAAGAATTTAACAAAAATATCTTTCTATCTATGCTGCAAGCTTAAAAGTTAATGGACTTTGTTTTGGCCCACCACCATACTTCAGAGATTAACGAAACAATAAATATACTACAAAAATTAAAGTTAATGTCGACACATTCAAAGAAACAAAAACAAATAAATGATTAAATAAATAGAAAATAAACACAAAAACAGAAGTGGAAGCAGCAATCACTCACTGAATATTTAGTGCCCACCATACATTATATTGTTGCTTTATATACATAACTAATCTTTAATATATATTATTTTACAAATAAGGAGACTAAACATTTTGTTTAATGACATGCAGAATGTGCATTCAGGTTTATGTATTCCCAAAGTCAAGGTTTTATATGTTATAAAAGCCAGAATGCTTACAGACATGGGATACAGGGGTTAGAAGCATGGGTGGCTTTTTGCCTATTTGTCTTTCCAGGTAGATTGACAGACCTTCAGCCTTCCATCAGAAACACACTAAAGGCCTAGTAAATGATGGAAAACAAACCAAAACTCATTTCCTTATTCAATACACAATTTGAGATTTACAACTGTTGCTAATTAACAAATCATCAAATATGTTTTTTTCTCTCAGTCTAGCACAACGGTCCTCAACTGAGTCTACCAGAAGCAGAAGGGTATAGGGACACTTGGCGGTGTCTAGAACTACTTGTGGCTGTCTAAACTGCAGAAGTGCTACTAGCATCTAGTGGGGAGACGTGAAACATCTTAAAAGCACACAGGACAGCCCCTAATGAAAAAAAATTATCTGGTCTAAAATATCAATAAATACAGCCAAAGCTGAGAAACTCTAGTTTAACGCAAAACAGAAAACAGTGACACTTCTACATCTAAACACAACACATGAAGTCATGAGCAAGCTAACATTTCCGTTTATAAAATCTAGAAAAACATAAGAAATATTCCAAGAAAATACACTGTTAAAGATACCAAAGAGTTATGGAAGTAAAGGGCAGAGATAAGTAGAGTTCCAGAAAGTTTGCAAAAAAGTGCTTTTTAGATGACTTGGGGTAAGAGGATTTGGGGCACAATTATCTTATTGTAGAAATAGATTCATGGGTATACACATACATCAAAACTCTTCAAGTTGCACATTATAAACAGCTATAGTTTTATTTCTGCCTCAGTAAAGCCTGAACAGCTTAATAAAGCAGTTTTCTTAACCTGCCCGGGGAAGTAGGGACTGACTGTTCAAGTTTTCAGGCATTTATTTCATTTAGTACCCTTCTAATAAGCTTCTGAGCTGAATGAGAGCTTACTAATATTTATATATTAGTAATATATATTTTTTTGTTTCTGAATGTGAAATCATAACATTAAATTTGGCCCTTAATTGACATATCATTCTGATAAGTATATTAAAGAAGTATTCAAATTATGTAAACAGTTAAACATGTATTTATCATCTCCTCCAAATACTTTTTACCCCTAAAATAGACCATTAAAAAATAGCTAGGTGTTGGGGTTGGAAAGATGGCTCCAGTGGTTAAAAGTACTGGCTGCTTGTGCAGAAGACTCAGGTTCAGTCCCAGCACCCACAGGTTGGCTGACAATCATCTGTAACTCTACTTCCAGGGACCCGACACCCTCTTCTGGTCTCCATGGGCATTGCATGCATGGGTGTGCTTGTATCTGGGGAAAATACTCATAGTTTTTTTTTTTAAATAGCATATCATGAGGTCAGGGTTAGTCTGAGCTACACAGAGACTTTGAGGATGGCCTGGATTCCATACTGAGGCCCCTCCAAAAAAGAAAAGAAACAAAAATAATTTTCAAGTCATAATAATAGTTGTTGATATTTTAATTTTAGCATAATAGTTAAATTGTTGAAATTAAAGCTAATACATGAAAATATATTTTCAGAAACACAAGTTTGAAATTATGGATTAAAACTACTTAACTCCAAGTATAATTAAGTTTTATTATTTGAATAACTACATCTTAATATTAACTACAATTTAATACATTTCTTAAAAAGAAATGTATTAAGGGAAGGCAACAGGAAAGAGGAACAATTGTATAATGACATATATAATGTATGAAACCCATTATTTAGTATACTAATCTACAAAATTAATTTTTTAAAAGTTAAAAAATGTTTTAGCAGAACCTCATGTAATATGCTGGATTTAGTCTTCACAACTTGAATAAAAGTTTTAAAATGCAGTTGTTTTCTAAGGAAAAAGCAAGCAGTATGAGTGAGAATAATGTATAAACAGCACAAAGGTGTGTGGAAAGAAGCAGACGGACTCAGTCATTCAAAAGGAGAAATAGTTGAAGGAATGAGCATATACATATGTAACATTATAAAACTATTAATATTTTATAATTTTGAGACTTAGAAAATTATAGTCCCATTATATGGATTCAGACAGCAGCCAACTAAGAGATTAAGCACCTTTCTCTCTGGGCTCTCTTCCTCTCTCTCAACCTTTTTCTTCTTTGTCAGGTTCTTTGCCTTTTACCTACTACTTTGGAGATCTAAGTTGAACTAAGACCTATCTAGAGGTGGGCATGGTAGCACATGCTTTAATCCCAGCACTGCAGAGGCAGAGTTTGAGGCCAGCCTGGACTACACAGTGAGTTCCAGGCCAGCTGTGGAGATACCCTGTCTCAAAAGTAAAACAAACAAACAAAACAAACAAACAAACCCCCCTCTATACTGTTGAGTAGGCTCAACATATGGTTAATTTAAAGCAATGTTAATTTAAAGCTCACTATGTATATGTCTTCATGTATACAAACCGAAGAACAACCCAAGTTCCATTTTAAAAGGTAAACTGGGATAGTTTAGGGCGGGAAGAGGGAAGGGTATACAAGGAACCTAGGGGATAAAGGGAAAGAAGGAGCTCGAAAGGGGAAAAAATGGGGCACCTTTATTGGGGGAAACAATGATGGAGGTGTTAGACAATGTGAGAGATAAATAATGCCTAGCTAGTTTTAAAAACCAGAGGGAACCATATTAATCCAACAACCTACTGACAAATTATACATACCAGATCAAGAAATATATGTCTACGCAAGGTTTATCTGATAACACTTGGTCTTTGTTCGATTCCTCTGTACATGACACACAGTAATTTAAAGTACCAGACTGGTGGAACTAACCTTGTTGGATGTTTAACAGACATACTTTGAGGCCTATAATAATTTAGGTAGAGGGACATAAAGGACAGTTTTTGCTCCTTGTCCTCCTAGGTCGATTAGTTCCAGGGGACTATGAGCATCTCTCAAAATGTCCTATAATTGTGGTAGGTCACCTGTCCTCTTGATCACGGAGGCTGAGGAGACCCCATAAGACGGACTTGAACCAGCATCCAGTCTACAAAGAGGAGGGTCAACACAGAGGAATCATGTCCTCCAGGCTTCCAAGTGAAGCCAACCATGGTCGAGCAGGACCTTTGACTTATCTTCACATAGGCGGAACTGGTAAAAGAAAGGAGCCAGGGGCTCCTCCCAAGCCCATGTAACCCCTGAGGAACAGATCCTCAAACAACCTTAAGAGTAAAAATAAATTGTTTATCTGGGCCAACTATATGGTCTTAAACACCCAAAAGGAAAGTATAACCAAAGATTAAAGGGGCCAATATAATTTCTTAAGAGTCCATATGCATAGCTAAAGGCTACATAACAAGCAACAATGCCAGATAGGAGATACCTTCTTTTGAGCTGTTGGCCAGGGTGGCCAAAGGGACTCCCATTTAGTAACCCAGCATAGAACGGGGAAAATGAACAGCAGATCCTAATCTTATCTAAAGGAATATTGACAACTGAGTGCTGCTAGATGAGGAATAGCTGACCTTCCTAAAACAAAGACCTCTAGATAGGCTGACTAGAGTCATCAGATGGACAAGTAGTGGGGAACAGCCAGCTGGGGGTGCTGACAACACAGCAGACAGTAGCAGGGATATCAGAGTATGAGGGCTCTAGTCGGGGGAGGGAGGCTATGGGAGGGTTCCATCTGGGAAGTGGATGTATAGTTGAATAAGATGGTTTGGGATGTTTTGTGTGATATACACACACACACAATCGACAAATTTTTAAAAATGTGTAATATTTGAGGAGGAAGCATGGAAATTCACATCATGTTAATTAGTAGAGGTGATAAACATTACCACTGAAATCTACCTGATGACTTTATAGACAAAAACAGGCACCAAGGATCCGAGTGCAACCAATTATGACTAGTAATAATCAGATAAATACAGATTAGAGATGCATGCACCAACATCTCAGTGTTAGTAGCAAAAACAATGAGTCTTTCTCCAAGAAACAATATATTCTAAAATGAAATGGAGAGCTTTTTTAAAGGTTAAAAACTCATTCAATTTTATGTCTTACAGGGCTTATACTGAGTTCAATATTCTATAACTGTATTAATTCAACTGTGAACCTAGAAACTTACTGCCACTTGTGAAAGAAATGTACTCTTGCTCTGGAGTGTGTTACTGAATATGTTAAAGCTGTAATGAAATGCTTCTTCTAATCATGTAGTTATTAAAAATTAAAAAGAAAAAATGTAAATGCTTTAAATAATTAGGAATACACAAGTACATGTACACTTAAATAGGATTTTAACAAAAGTTAAGCATAGCAGTATGTTTTCCTCAAAACAGTAAGCTTTTCAAACATACATGGTGACTGTAGAAACTCTATATTACCCTCTAATCCTCTCTGTACTGGAGTGCCACTGATGCACCACCGATTAATCCCACTCAACCGCTGGGCCATTTCTGCAGCCTGATGAAAGAAAATATGAAATAAAAAAGAAAACAGTCATAAGAAGAACAAAGAAGTCAGGCACATATTTACTCATGAAAATGACCCCAATCAGCTGTACTTCAGGTGAGACGCGCCTATGTTTATTTAACAGCTATCACAGTGTAGATTGTCAATGCTCACTGGGCCAATTAGCCAATAAAGTGGTTCTCATTAGTGGAAGCCTACCAAGTACCACTCAGATAGAGGTGTGGTTCAAACATGCACAGGGGGAAGCATTTTCCTGAAAGACTAATACATACCCTATAACACCCCATACCACAGAGGGAAACTTCTGTGTTAAGAGAGGGGCTCAGGGACCACTGTGGAAGACGGGGGGAGGAAAGACTGTAAGAGACAGGGAAGAGGTACATGACTATACAGAAATAGTACTACAGGCTCCTGGGATTCATCTCATACGAACTTAAACCAATGGTGTCTGCATGTATAAGACCCACGCAAACTTAAGCAGACAAAAACCCAGCACAAAATTGCAGAAATCATCAGCAGGCCCCAATCTTAGGTGAAGACTTATTGGCAGCTGATTACAGCTGGCTGAGGAAGAGCTGGTCTTCTTAAAGGAAGAGACTCTGGATAGGCTGACTAGATCTCAGAGAATGAACTTGCACTGAGGGACATCTGGGGACACTAACTTTACATGATAGGCCTTAACACAAATGACAGAATGTATGAAGTCCAGCGGGGGCGGGGTATGGAGGTGCCAAAGAGGAAGGGGAATAAAGGTGATTTTCTGTATGAAATACACAAAAATTCAATAAAAATTTTTTTTTAAAGAGAGGGGATTCATAAATTCAGTCAGGCTATGGATTGGTCAAAGGAGACAGAATAAAGAGTAAAAGGGGCTGGGAAGCCAGCTCAGTCAGTAAAGTACTTGCTGTGCCATCCTGAGTATCTGAGTTTGGATTCCCAGTACCCACACAAAAAGCTAAAAGCAGCAAGTTTGTTTTTTGTAATCCTAGCACTGGGGAGGCAAAGGCAGGAGGATCCATGGAGCTTGCTGGTCAGCCAGTCTAGCTGAATGAACAAGCTCCAGGGTTCAGTGAGAGACCATTTTAAACAGTAAGGTGGAGAGAGTCATAGAGGAAGAGACCTTAGACAGACAGACACACACACACACACATACAAAGAATAAAGTTGTATGCATTAAAGTGGCATTTTATGTAGCCGTTTGATCTCTTGGAGAAGGGCTAAACTGCCAAACTTAGGCTCAAGGCTGTCAGAGCATTCATGGTAAGCTTTCTAGTTAGTAGAAATGATTTTTAAAGTCTCTAAATGTAGTTTACCTTAAACTGTATTACATACATATTGACATCTAAGTATCCGAGTACTGTATAGAGACATCATTCAGAGGATTAAAGTAATTCCAAAGGATTGTGTAGTGCAAAGCACAAGATAAAGAAGATGCAGTATGTTTAGCAACAAACTTTCCAACCAGTACCAGTACTGTGGGTTAACTAAGCTTCAATTATCAGATGATTCACATCCCCCTTCCTTCCCCAGCACTCAAAAGATGTGGCAGAGGCTCTTACTTTTACTGTAGGACATTCAACCATCTGTGCTTCATCAAGACAGATCCTCCACCACTCTACTGCCACCAGGGGGCTGGGAATGGCCATATAGCGCTTCTGATTCCTCAGGCGACGCCCATCCTCACTATTGCTATGTGGGATATCGACATAGTTCAGTTCTGAACGAAGGACATCATAAGTAATGATAACTATATCTTGTTCTGCCAAAAAATGAGGCTGCAAGAAACCATCTTTCTTCACTCCTTGATATACCTGGGAAACAAACAGCACCAACAGTTAATGCAGAAAACGTTGTCAACGGCTACTGAAATATTCACTTACATTATATTGGTGAGCCTTTTCTATACTTGCTTTTGACCCACATAATATGTGCAGATCCCACACCAGTCAAGAGAAAGATTTTGTGGTGTGGGTACCAAATGACGTAAGCGATGCGGAGGATCACAGAGCAAATGTGATGGCATCTGTGCAGAGACCAATTCTGTCGCCCAGAGAGTGAATTCAGAGAAGCAAAAATTTCAGTTGCGCTTTGAAGAAACCTTTAGAGCTCTTATAAATGGAAAAAAGGGAAAAGAATGAGGCAGTAGGCAGGTAGAACCAAAGCTACGTGAGAAAACAATAGTATGGAAAAGTAGAAAAATCAGAGGTATTTTCTGGAAATATTCATGTTTCAGACACTGTGAGAGGCATTATCTCCAAACTTCAAGAGCAGTGCTACTGGTTATTACGCCTCTCCTGCACACAGAAAATGAAAAGTGACCTGCTCGAAACTGAAGCAGCAGAGACTGAAGTTTACCTATCCAAAAAGACAGAGCCTCAGTGGCAAAAGTTGTGGTCTATGTATGATTATGTTCTCCATGTTTATGACAGTGGCTGACAACAGGAAACCTATAAGATGTGCATGGAAAGAACAAAGACAGAAAGCAACAATACTCAGTGACCACTGGCCAGCACTTTATCAAATCCTTTAATATGCTTAACAAGCCCGTGACTGCATATTATTTTTGGAACTCCGTAAAGTTCCCTGCAAATAACAGGTACTCAATAAATATCTGCTGAATGAGTAGCTGTTATCACTCATGAGGTAACTGAGGCTTCAAAGGACAGTTATGGAACTATGAGGTGACGGAGTGCATGGGCAGCTGCAATGATGCTATGCTTGCTCCTCTGGACTGTGTTTCTCTCTGAAAGCGTATGCGCTTATTCCAACCCATTCTCATCTTCATGATCAATAATTTTTAAAAGCTTCAGAGTTCAAAAATGAATATAGTCTACTTTTCTTATTTTCAGTATTCTCTCCAAACTCTCTGGTATAGTTAGTACTACTATTATAACCAATAACGTAATTTTTGGAATATACACACACACACACACACACACACACGCACGCACGCACGCACACACGCATAACCAGAGGTGGGGATGTAGCTCAGTGGTAGAGTACTTGTCTGAAATGTACAATACCTTGAGTTCAATTAATTTTTAAGAAAAGTATGAAAACATTAATGTAGAACTTTGAAAAATAAGAACCTAAAATTAAAATTATACTTTAGTCACCTATAGCACCAGCACCAGAAAGGCAGAGACAGGATGATCAGGAGTTCAAGGACATCCATACAGCCAGCCTGAACTATCTGAGACCCTTCTCAACTCTCTCTCCAAACTAAGTAAATAAATACATAAATTAATAATAAAAATAGGCTAGGCATGGTGATACATGCCTTTAATCTCAGTGCTTGGGAGCCAGCAGCAGGCAGGACACTGTGAGTTTGAAGCAGCCTGGTCTACATAGCAAGTTTCAGGCCCGCTGGGGATACATAATGAGGAGAGATGGCTCAGTGGCTAAGAGCACTGGCTGCTCTTGCAGAGGACCAGGGTTTGATTCCCAGCACCCACATGGAAGCTAACAAGAGCCTGTAACTTCAGTTCCAGGGGAATTCGATGTTCTTCTAACCTCCTTGGACACTGCATGACCTGGGTGCATGTATATATGTGCAGGCAACACATGTATACACATAAATAAGAGAAAGAAAAAGAAAAAATTAAAAATGAACAACAGCCCAACATAGGTGATGAAACTGTCCTAGAAAAGCAAAATTTTACATGTTTCTCTTTAGTCCAAAGTCCTTACCAAGACTCTGAGAGAGGAGGACCTCACATGCCGGTTGATCTCATCAACCCACTGGTGGCAGATGGAACTTGGAGAGATAATCAGAGTTGCTCTTGTGGATACTGGCTCCATTGCAACAAGGCAGTGGGGGCAGTAAAAAGGCTTCACCTTCAGATTCTTCTCTTCGTAGTTCACACACTTCGCATGCTGCCAGAGGTGGCACTTCAGGCACTGGACACGGGGCTTACAGTCTACCTGGTCAAATTCACCACATATGCACTCAAAGCGATAATCAGAGGTATTGTAGGGACTGGTAGCATTAGAGCAGATCACCTCGCCAGCAGCAGGGCTGGGAGACTCAGCATGGCCTTCTGCTTCTTGGTTTTGCTTCTTATCAGAGGCACACGTACTTTCGGACTTAATACCATCCATGCTCGCAGAGTCACTAGGAGCTAGACAGTGAACCTGTGAATCCAGACTGATGGAAGGCTGACTGTTTTCTTTTTTTGTGAGCAGAACAGGCTTTTTTTTCAATTTACGATTCCTTCTGTCTTTATAATAATAATAATAATAAGCATCATCATCATCATCAGAAGTGTTAGATGGCAGGTATTCAGAATCTGTGTCCTTATTTACTGATTTTCTCAACTCTTTCTGAATTTTGCGTGGACTCCCCACTACCTACAAAAAATATTATTTAATTAATATATGCCGACAAAGTTACATTTCTGACATTAAACTCTCAATGTTATATATGTTTTACTGAAAAGTACAGCAGCCAGTATTTGTAACCCTCTTCCAGAAGGAAACTTATTCCTTATAAATGGTTTCTAATCTACCCTGACAGAACCCTTTCTGTAATCTTCAGAGAAGCAAAACGCTTCTTCATACCTGCAGAGTAGAGTCTGGAGAGAATAGAGCTAAGAAAGATAAAGAAAGCAAATGGAAGTTTGGTATTAACTTTTCATGATTTTAAGTCTGCATAAATCAATGAAAGAAAATAAATTTAGAGTTCATACAATTAAAAATTACTAAATACTAAAACAATGTAAAAGTTAATACACTATTACTGTAATTGGTAAATAAATTTCTCACACTTTTGCACCCTTTCTTTGTGTGTCTCCTGTTACTGTGTTTTGAATGATAGTTCCATGCCAGGCATTGCATAAGACGTGAAGGTACAAACAATAGCAATACTGAATAGTAAAAAGTAGAACCACGCCTAAGAGGGAAATGCCTAAGAGGAGCATAAAAGCAGGTAAGTGATAGGAACAGCTTCCTCTAAGTGGGGTCAGAACTAAGAGCAAACAGAGGACCTAATGATACAATGGCAGTGATCAGAGATTTTTCCTTTTTTGGTGGCAGCAGGATTATTAAAAGCAGTTTATTGTAGTCCTCCATGTTGGCTAGAGAAGTACCGGACATCCCTACTTCAAAAGTGAAATCCTCTTTTTTTTTTGACATCTCCTTTACGGTAACCAAACAGGGCTTCATAATTTGACTTGTCAACATTTGTTTTTATGTTTGTACATACTGCACCTAGTTACCTAAAGCAAATCAAAATTACTGGCTCAACAGAAGTAGTTTTACAACACAGTTTATTTTTAAAAAACTTAAAATGTAAATAAATGTATGCACTCAATTGTGCAGTCAACAGGTTAAGGATAAAGAAGTTATCTTGAGCTCTAAGGTGTGCTAAACCAACTAATTTTAGAAGTCACCCACCTGGGTATTTATGATGTGCAAGCACATAGACTAACTGGTAATCAAAATAAAGTCACTACTTTTGTGGAGCTTATGCAGAAAGTAGAAAATCTGTCACTGGCCTAGCACTTGTCCTACTGGTCTGATTATCATCAAACCTGGAAAGCTTCAATGCTAAAGCAGGATCTATCAATTTATTCTGTATGCCATCACAGGAGAGTACAGGCACTTAAGAAATGCTTAGTTACCTGCTTTTTTGTTTTATCACATATATCCTCTTCTTTGTAATTCTTCCCCAGTGTAAAAGTCCCAGAGAAACCATGGCCTTTGATCTGTTTCACAAGACCTTCAAAAATTAGACACTTCAGCATCCGTTTCAGGAGACTCCTGTTGCGCTGAACATCGTATCTATATATGGAACTGACATACTTATAGATAGAAAGAATAGAAACTCCCTTCTTCCCATTCATTTCTTTCACGGCAGTCAGGATCATCACACGTGTGGCTAAATGCAAAAGGACATGCTAATTCAGTCAAAAACTTTAAACAACATGAAAGTCAATCTTAATTTGCATTGAGGACTGATTTAAGAAAATTAGTAGAGGCCAGGCATAGTGGCACATGCCTTTAGTCCCAGCACTCAGGAGGTAGAGGCAGGTGAATTTCTGTGAGTTATAGGTCAGCCTGTTCTATATAGTTCAAAGTTCAAGGCCTGCCACAGCCAGGGTTACATAGTGAAACCCTATCTAAAGAAAGGAAAGAAAAGAAAAGAAAAGAAAAAGAAAGAAAGAAAGAAAGAAAGAAAGAAAGAAAGAAAGAAAGAAAAAGAAAAACGTATTACAATCTAGTACCATTTTTGAAGAATATGAAACAAAATGTTACACTATATTAAGAAAAATTACTGTAATATAAAAAATTTAACAAAGATTATTTAGGTTATTTGTTAGTTTTGCTAAACCATAATCATTGAAAATTCTAAAAGAAAGTCACCCAATTATCTTAGTATATGCTACCATTAGTACAGAAAATTCTTTCACTAATAGTAGCTATACCTGAAAATTAACAAAAATTAAGAAATTTAAATATAATAGACTGAACTTGAACCAAGTCAAATCAAAATATAATTATTTTTGTGACAACTTCTAACAGTACACTTATATAAAATATAAACAACTAAAAAACAACTATTCTTCACAACCATAAGATCTCTTTAAGGACTAACAAAAGTCACTATAAGAAGTCATTTAAGAGACATACTTACGGGGGCACTGAACTTTTTCTTTTCGTTCAAATTCCCTATCTTGGATTTCTATGTCTTTTACTTGTCTTCCAGGACTGTGTGATGGGATGAAATAATTCACCACTTTCCCCTGAAATACACGGCATTTGGTAGTTGACTTATTTGCTTTTAGTATTCTAAGTTTTTAAATTTTTATTTATTTTTATTTTATGTGTATGACTGTTTTGTCTGTATGGATATACAAATGCTTGCGTATGCAATGCCCACATAAGTCAGAAGAGGACATTGGAGCTCCTAGAACTGGAGTTACAGACGGTTGTTAACTGCCATATGGGTGCTGAGAACTGAACCTGGGTCTTTTGCAAGAGCAGTCAGTACCCTTAACTACTGAACTGTCTCTCCAGCTCCCTGAATTGAACTGACACATTGAATTCAAAATAAAAATATTACTTTGTAGTTAAAATATGTAATGAGTTTAAAATCCCAGAAAGAAGTTACTATGATGCTTAAAAAATTATATACCAAGTAAAAAAAAAAAAAAATAAGATTTTTTTTTAATATTTATTTTTATTTTATGTGTCTGCGTGTCTTGCCTATGTGTAGATAAGTGCACCCATGTTGTGCAATGCCCATGGAGGACAGAAGAGGCTGTCAGATCCCCTGGAATTGGAGTTACGGACAGTTGTTAGCTGCCATGTGGGTGCTGGGATTCAAACCTGGGTCTTCTGCAAGAACAACCTGTGTTCTTAACCGCTGAGCCATCTCTCCAGCCCCTATTTTTTAAAAATTTTATCTGTTGACTTATCCTCACATGGATGGAGCTGGTAAAAGAAAGGAGCCAGGGGCTCCTCCCAACCCCATGGGACCCCTGAGGAACAAATCCTCTAACGACCTCAAGAGTAAAAACAAATCAGTTTATCTGGTCCAATTCTATGTCCTTAAACACCCAAAAGGGAAGTATAACCAAAGATTAAAGGGGCCAACATAATATCATAAGAGCATACATATACATAACTAAAAGTTACTCGACAAACAACAAAGCCAGACAGGCGATACCTTCAGTCGAGTTGTTGGCTAGGATAGATAAAGGCTCTTCCAGACAGTAACCCAACACACTACTGGAAAAATGAACAGCAGACCCCAATTCTATCCAAAGGAATACTGACAATGGATTGCTGTAGATGAGGAACAGCTGACCCTCCTGGAACAGGGACCTCTGGCTGACTAGATTTACCAGAAGGGCAGACAGGGGGGAATGGATGAGGGTGCTGACAACACAGTGGACAGTGACAGGGATGGCAGAGTATGGAGCCTCTAGTGGGAGAGGAAGGCTGTCTATCTGACGAGTTTGTATTCATGCTCAGATGCCGAGGAGCTCAGAAGGTGGGCGACTGTGACCAGTGATAGTCATGTATACAGAGATTAGAAATGCATGTGAAAACGTCTCAATGTCAATTGCTTTGGAATGAATTCTTCTGTATGAAAAAAAAAAAAAAAGTTGTGCTGTAAAGTAAAAAAAAAAAAAAAATTTATCTGTTTACTTATATTTATTTTATGTGTATGAGTGTATTGCCTGCATGTGTGTAAGTACACCTGTTTTATGCATGCTTATAAAAGTCAGAAGAGGGTGTTGGATCCCCCGGAACTGAAGTTACAGTTGTTAGCTGCTGTGTGGGTGCTGGGATTTGAACTCAGGTCTTTTGCAACAACAGCCAGTGCTCTTAACTACTGAGTTATCTCTTCAGCTCCTGAAGTTATTTTTTATAAACTCTACAATGCAAGTATTTAAAAAACAATGATAAATTTCAAGACATAAACTCAGGGATCTATTTAATCTAACACTCTACTTAGTAGGATTTTTGCCCTTTAAGTTCTAATATTAGATTTTAAGATTAGCACATCTCAGATTTGTAATTAAACAAATAGTTCTTTAAAATACTAAGTAATGATATGGAAACATAAAAGTTATTTGGATATCTTTTTCCTAAATGGCCAACATCACTTAGGAAAAATCCTGCCAAGTCACAAACACCCCACTCTCTGTGGCCACTTGAAGCCACTAACATAAACCATTGCTGTAGAATGAACAGAAAGTGTTGAATGCCAAACAATTGTTCACTGCATGACTGTCTATCCTCTGGGCACCACAGTCCTCTGTACCTCAGGAAGCGTGAGTCCATCTTGTTTCACGTCTTGTCGAGTATGTGTCAGAATCAGAGCCAAAACCTCCACTGTCTTTCCGAGACCCATCTCATCTGCTAAGATCCCACCAAGCAACTGCGGCCCAGAATGTGGGTACTCACGAATGATACTAAGGACAAAACAAGAAAAACGAAACTGAGGAATATAAATAAAAGTTATACTGCTTCTAACTAGTATTCCTAAAGAGAACTGAAAGAAATGCACAGAATTTTAAATTTACTGAAACATTATTTGAGCAAACAGTTCAAATCTATATATAAATGAAAAGACTGAAATAATAACAACCAAGCAGACAATAAAGTCTGCAGAAACAAGAATGGTATCAGTATACACTCTTCATTTATTTTTTCTCTTTTATAATTAAAAAGAAACATTCTGCAGGTCAACAAGATGGCTCAGCAGACAAAGGTGCCTGCCAGCAAATCTGGAGATGGAAGTTCTACCCCTGGGACATACACGGTGAAAGGAGAGAAACAGCTGTTACAAGCTGTGCATGTGTACTGCATTTTCCCCACCCCTAAGACCCAGTCACGAAATAAATAAATGCAAAAAAAAATTTTCTAAAACAGAGGCATTTTTGCCAATGATCTTTATAAATCCATGAGTTAAAAAAAAAGAACACTGACTCATTATGTTAAAAGATTCCTGAAGTATTTTTATCATATGAATTTAATGAAAAGTATAAAAATTGGTTTTAATAAACAAGATAGCATTTTTAGTTAAAATACAAATCTCTCTAGTCCTGATGACTCAGCAGCTTATATTCACATTATGATACATTCATCTGTTGAAAAATGACAAACTCTATTAATTCTAAGTTTATCCTATCTACAAAGATGTCTAATCAGACCTAAACTTAGTATTCTTTATTTAAATGCTATCAAGACTGAAATCATGTTAAACTCTCATAGTTTTTCACTGTATTCATTTTTAAAAACAAACATAAATAAAATCATGCCTTACCACCCTGTGTATGGGTTATAGTAGAGTTTGAAACCATCAGATGTAACAACTTCTCGCCACAAGAAGTGCAGGGAATTGTCTAAAGAAAAATATAACCACACAAGAGTTGTTTAATTTTCTTTCTACCAGACAGTCACATAAGGATAAAAATAAACAGTTGGAATGCCATGGGATACTGACTGAGGAGACCCATATTCTTGGGAAGGCACATCCAGGAAAAGCCACGTATTTGCCTCTTACTTGGCACATGGGTAAAAGGGTAATTCTTTTCTTCCTAATACTCTTTTCTAATTATTTTTTCCTAATACTCTTCTAGTATCATTTATTAGCTTCTGTTGCTTTGGCACAAACCCACATAGGCAAGTGATAAGGCAAAAGAGCAGAGTGGAGCACACAGCTGAGGGGTAACAGGAAAATCAGTACATCACCAATTCCAACCTAATACAGGTTGCCCTTCACAAGTCATCCAATAAGCATGAACTTTAAAAAGAAAACACTTCAAATTTATGGGAACCATAAGGGACAAATGGAACTACTAAATGTCACATGGGATTTAATCAACAACATCTAGTCTATAGACAAAAAAGAATGAGTTCCTGATACATGCAATATAGACATAGCTCAAAAATGTTATGTATAAAGAATAAAATCTATTCCAAATATATACATGATTTAATTCATTTTTCCAAAAAGGTCAACACTAAGGTGACAATGCCTCTTGAAGGGGTTCACACAGAACTGACCGGGACATAAGGAAACTTCTTAGAGCAATGGAAATATTTAACATCAGTACTACTACACAGACATTTAATGGGAGCCACATATATAACCTCAAATTTGCAGTAAGATTAAAACAGGTAAAATAAATTTTAACAGTATACTTCATTTCAAAAACTAAAATAGTATTTCAATATGTAACCAATATAAAAAGTAAGATGTTTTACATTGTGTCTGTTTTTATACTACTAAGTGAAATCCAGTGTGTATTTAAACTCACAGCATATTTCAATCTGGACAGTGGTATTTCAACTCTCAAGAACCATACATGGCTAGTACTTACTTTGGTATAAGTCTAGTTCTTTGTGTTAACTGGTTCTATGATTTAGATCTGAAATGTTCCCCAAAGGCTGATATGTTGAAGGCACTGTCTCCAGTGCAGTGATACTCGGGGGTGGGTGGGGCTTTGAGAAGTGACTGGACATGATGGCTCTGACTTCATAAATGGGTTGGTTCACTGGGAGGTTTGGAATTTGATGGGTTACTGGGAAGTGGCAGAAACTTTGGAGATGGGACACAGTTGAAGGGAGTTGATCCTAGAAGGGGATTGCCTCTGGGGGCTAAATCTTGTCCTGGCCTCTTCTTAACTTCTTGTAGGCACAATGAAACGAGTAGCTCCTCAGTCACATGATGTCACTACCATGATATTCTTCTGCTTCAGCTCAGGCCAAGGTAATCCATCTTGCAGCCCAGGCCTGAAACCTCTGAAAGTGAGTCTTTTAACCTTTGGATGATTTTCCAGATACTCTGTCTCTGTGATGGGGTGCTTACAACCACTGGTTGCTGACTACAAGGATACACAGATTTATTAAAACTTGTCAAAGTGTACCTTAAGATTAATGCATTTTGTCGTCTTTACATAAGTTATACCTTCATAAAATTACAAATCGAAGTCGGGTGTGGTGGTGCAGGCCAAGTCCCAGTACTTGGAAGGCAGAGGCAGGTGATCTCTATGAGACTGAGGCCAGTCTATTCGACTTACCAAGTTCTAGGACAGCTGGGGCTACAGAGAGACCCTGTCTCAAAAGAAAAAAATTACGTATTTGAAGAAAATGACTTCATTTTAGAGAAAAATAATATGGCCTACGTGAAACTTTGTTGGGTGTTAGCTGGTTTCAGAGAAAAAAAGAGTGAAAGAAAGAAGCAGGAGAAAAGGAAGGGCTAGAGGAAGAATATGAGCACGAAAAGAACAGGGAACTAGAGAAGACAAGGCAGTTTAGGAAGAAGACACATTTGTTCATATTAAGGACTTTCTGGACTTTAAAATCCAGTATATATATTCTTACATCTACTTAAAAAAATTATCATTTAATGAAACAAAAAATACTAACATATAATTATATATGATATACTTCCAAATAAAACAGAGTAGGACCAGGAATAAGAAAAAAATAATACTGCCTATGAATTGATACTGCCCAACATGAAAATTAAAAAAAAAACAAAACAAAACAAAAAACAGTTTGCTGGAATACTTGGGAGAAATAGCAGTTTTATCTATTTTATCTTACTTTAATTTACTAATTTAAGTAAATCTATAAAGGAAGAATCAGAAAGAGTTACCTCACTTTATAGATTATGTAAGAATTTCATACTGTATCTATTTAAAAAATAGTAACAAGATACATCCAACAAATCTGTTTTATTTATTTTGTAGGCAAAGAAAAAAAATGAACACTAGGAAAATTAAGTCATAATTTTCAAAAATCTCCCACTTTGGTAACTTTGTTGTCTGTTGCTAATATTTATTGTTAAATTATGAAGTCTCTCATGAACTAGCAAGCTTCCCATCTAATCAGGTTCTAAAAGTAATTTCCTGTTAAAGTTATACTGTTGTTGTTATTTTGAGATAGGGTGACATGTAGTTCATACTGGCCTGGAATTCACCAACTATCCCAGAATGACCTTGAATTCCTCATTTTCCTGCCATTATCTGCCAAAAGTTGGGATTACAGTATGTTATGATTTTAGTTTTTCAAAATTGCCATTAAGTTCTGGTAGGTAGCCAAGAACAGGGGCAATGGCTAGTAGTGTTTGAGGGTCTATAGGACTTGTGGTCAAAGCTTCAAGAGAGGGAGTCCACTCCTGGCACTGGGGTTTTATTTTGTTAGCCTACAGTATCTACTAGGGGCAATGTCCTTCTGTTATAAGGTAACTCTTCTAATTGCTTTTTATAATGTCCATGTATGTACTTTAAGAAGCTTCTATAGTTGTAAATTTCCATATGGCTTTTTCTAACATGTTACTTATCCCTCTCCTGCCCTGCCCTCCTAGTCCTCATCCCATTTAATTCTTCCTACTCTATTATTCTTTCTCCCTTTAAAATAAATCACTGCATTCTGACACTATATACATGGGCTACAGAACAAACAAGGAGAATTCAAGCTGGTGATTACTTCAGACCCTCATCTCTACTAGTTGGCTTTCATAATGCTGGAAGGTACTATGCACGCTACTGGGAGGAAAAAATAATCTATCAACCAGCTGTGAATCTTGTGTGGCCTGGCATGATATGCCCACCACTGCATTAGTGGCATGAATATTATGGGAGTGACCTATCACTCTCTTAAGTGGACTTAAGGTCTATTTCATACTAGTTTTCCAATACTAGTTTTCTGCTAAAAAGTTGTAATATTGCCGGGAGTGGTGGTGCACGCCTTTAATCCCAGCACTGGGAGGCAGAGGCAGGTGGATCTCTGTGAGTTCAAGGACAGCCTGGTCTACATAGTGAGTTCCAGGACAGCTGGAGCTACAGGGAGACCCTGTCTCAAAAAGACAGAAAAAAAAAAAAAAAAAAAAAAAAAAAAAAAAAAAGTAATATTAAACTGATTCCTAATGACTCAATGTTTTATACCCACAGATTAATGAATCTCTCAACTTTTACCAGAGAAGTTTCCTTATGCAACAGATGGCAATTAACACAGAAACCCACAACTGGCCAATGTGCAGAGAACAAGAGGGTGCAGAGTACTTTATTCCTGAATAGGTGGACCTATATCAAACTTCTGCTTCTCATGGCTAAGAGATCACTGGGGAAGAGGAGGTGAAAAGATCCTAAGACCCACAGGTGGTAGATGACCATAAGGAAAGTTTGCAAGACTGCTGGTCCAGTTATTCATATGAACTCCCAGCAATAGTGATAACATGCATAAGTCCCATGCACATTCAAACCAGACAAAATCTCAGCATAGACATGGGGAAGTGGGTAAGAAATCCCAACCCAACCTAAGGAACTTTGGCAACCAATGGCTGCTGGGAGTGGGAGACAGAATCTCTTTCAAGGATGGAACTCTTGGTAGGTCAGCCAGGCTCCAGTGGATGGATCCACACTGAAGGACATTTGTGGACACAAACTAGATGCTATAGGCCTTAATATATATATACATACACATACACAATTATAACAGTATATATCATATATATAAATACTAGAGTACATTAAATTGGGTAGGGGCAATAAGAGGAGGTGTGGATCTAAATACTACCAAATTATATTGTATATAAACCTAAAAAATTCAGTAATTAAAAAAAAATTCCATTAAGGTTCAAGGAAGAACAAGTCTAAACTTGTATAAAGTCACACATTAATTTTTTTAGATTTCAATTTTGGGTGATTTATTAGAAAATAATTTTATTCATAATATCCAATCTCTTTTCAATTCTCTTTTCAATGTGATCACTCAACCCCTTGAGTCATACTCCAGTGAAACTATCTCCCATATGATCCCTCTAACCAATGCTCCCTTAAGCATCTTATACTTGCCACCAGCAGGGGTGCCTCTGAAATGCTCCTGTTGTAGCATCCAGTTGACTGCTTCTCTCTGGTAGGGTCTTAACACAGGGATCAGTGCAGGGTGCTGGACATCCACTTGGGCCGACTGTGTTTCTTGCTGATGTGTTTGCTTCACAAAATGATAGAGCTCATCAATATCCTGGCTCTCTGGCTCACTCTCTGAATCTTCCTCGTCTTCTTCCAAAACATCTGTATAGCCAACAAAAATGCATCCATCCACAAGGTTCTTTCTCTTTTTTTAATCCCCACCTCCCCGACCCCACAACATTTTGCAATATACTCCAGAATGACCTCACACTCAGGATCTGCATGTCTCAAGTCTCCTGAGTGCTGAGGATGCAAGTGTGTGTTAATGCAAGTGAGTGCTCCCTAAGGTCTGGCTAATCACACATCCTTATTGCAAGAACATACCATGCACTCACCCAACTCTGCAGTCTTGCTCTGTGTGTTCTGTAACTGAAAATCCCTACTCATTCCCTAATCAAAAAACCTCTACCCCTGTGTTCTTCAAAATAGTTGAAATATTACTGTTTCCATGGCATTTTTTTTTTCATTTTCCTTGGCTAGAGTCAATGTTCTCCTCTGTGCATGTTCTATTTTATACTTTTGATAAGAATATACTGCAATCTATCGGGTATCACAATCATTTATGTGTACTTGGCCCTTCTTTATTTTCACAGCTCTTCAGAGAAGATGATTTATATTTTGCCTACTGAAGGTATTTAGTAACTCTGAGAATTAGATATGAGTTTCTTTTGTAATTCATAAAATATCTTATTTCACTTTTACATCATAACATAAAAATTCTTACTATAAGAATTTTCATCTTACTTATTATGAAAAAAATGGACATGCAGCAGCAGCTAACTAGGGGACAAACGCTTAAACTATTAGTGTAAATTTGTAAGGCTGTCCGGTTCATTTGGAGGACAAAACTGCCCTGTAGAAGACACACAGCATCCTAAACACACTTATAACCCTCTTCAACTATTTTTTTACTAAAAACATTATTCTAGCAAGGTGAAGAAATAAACCATTTATTTCCAAATTGTTTTCAAAGAGAACTATATAGTTTTACAGAACATGCCTAATGTGCTCTATAACTAACATGGTATCAAACAATTCAGAAATATTTTCAATAAAAAATACCATATTGGGTTTTCACAACTATACAATGCATAGTTACAAATCTATTTCATACCATTATAATGCAATAATTATGTAATCTAGTATTAATGTCTAAATTTGAAGTTTTCCTTAAAATTCTTTTTTAAAAATTTCAAATTACACTATCTTTTAAAAGTACAGTAAGAGAATAATAATTGTAGTATTTTGGAGATGGGGAGTTTTACCATGTAGCCCAGACTGGCTTTGACCCTGAGATCCTCCTGCCTTTCCTTCTCAAGCACTGGGACTACAGACATGTTTACCATACCTGGCTAATAATTCTAACAAGATGTACTTGACAGCATTTCTTCTAGTTCTGAAACCAGATTATTTTCTTCCTTTTAAGTCTCTAACTTGCAAAACAATTTACCATTATTAGTTTTGTGAAGTTCTAAAAGAATATGGTATTTAAACATTATGTTAAGAAAGTGATTTCTAAAATATTCCAGTATGAAGAGTTCTATAGGGCTGAGGCTGTAGCTCAGAAGCAGCGCGCTCGCCTAGCATGTGTGAGGCTCTGGTCTGACACCTAGCATTGAAACGAAAGAAAGGAAAAGAAAGGAAAGAAAAGGAATGGGGATGGGGACAGATGGTATCCTATAAATTGCACTTGAAACTATATTTCCAGCCTCCAAACTGTAGTTCTAACCAAGGATGCCATATCCTACCAAGAAACAGAGCAAAGTCATCTGGTCTTCATGGAACCAAGCTCTGAAGATTATTTGCCAGACTGCAAAGGGAAAGGTAGAACAAAGGCCAGCCAAGAAATCCCTGGCTATGACAAAATTTTGCAAAAGAGAAATACAAAAAACATATCAGCTCTGGTCTGGTACAACTACCTTTTGACTCGGCATACTGACTTTGCAAGCATTTCTTGAACAGTGGGCACAGTGTTGAGCAAATATAGCGAAGAAACAAATTAGATTAGAAAGGGCCTTTCAGACAAATAGAATTTTGCTACATAGTATTTTATGTAGAGCATGTAAATTTTTTTCATTATCTAATTTTCAGGTTGTTATATGTAGGAATTGGGGAAAACTGACAATTCCAAATAGCAATTGTAAAGTTTATGTTAAAAATTACTTGAAATAAAAAAATTAAACTAAATTAAAAATCCAATTAAAAGCCCAGGTTTGGTGAAGCTATCCTTTAATTCCAGCACTTGAGAGGCAGAGGCAGGCAGACAGATGTCCGGGAATTTGAGGCCAGCCAGGGATCTATAATGAGATCCTGATTCTAAACAAGTAAATATTACCTGGAATAATAAAATTATATAACTTTTCCATTAGTCTCTTCATGAGTTGGTTGAACTTTTTCATTCTTGAACTTGCATCACTCATAAAGTCTAGTTTTGCGAGTCCAGTTTCCAAAATATAAATTCCAACCTACAGAGAATTATCACATAAAAACTTTTATTTAGAATATACCATTCTTGATAAAGACATGAAAAAATCATATTTTTCATAGTCACTATTCTAAAGACATTCAGTGTCTGCTTCAGACATGGGATATACACATACCTTACCAAAGCTCTTGCACATATTTTTAACTTCAGTAATAAATTCAATCGGCAAATGCATGTGATCCACCAAATCACTGGTTTCTCTGTATAATCAGTGAAGGTCCTTAAGAATGTAGCTCTCCTGAAGCATGTGGTGGCACATGCCTTTAATCCCAACATTCAGGAGGCAGAGGCAGATGGATCTCTATGAGATAGAGGCCAGCCTGGTCTACACAGTGAGTTCTAGGCCAGCTAAAGCTACAGGGAGAAACTGTCTCAAAAACAGTAAAAACCAAAATTAAAAAAACCAAACAGACAAAAGAATGCAGCTTTCCCCAATAAACTGTAGCACAAATGCTAAAGTTTACTTAGGTTTGGGAACCCTTATCACTGGATCAAATATTAAAAAGATATAGGAAAACATACCTTGACTATTATTAAGTATCTTAATTTATAAAACAATACAGCTGTTGAATTTTACAGTTGAAATATTTAAATTTGAATAGACAAATGATATTTGGGAATTAAAGAAATTTGGAAAAGAAAAACTTTTATTAACTAATTTATTTTTACTTTATGTGATTGTTATGCCTGCAGGTATGTAAGTGCACCCATGTCCTGCAGTGCCTGCAGAGGGCAGAAGTGGGTGTCGGATCCCCTGGAACTGGAGTTACAAATGGTTGTTAGCCACCATGAGGGTTCTGGGATTCAAACCCAGGTCTTCCCCAAGAACAGTCAGTGTTCTTAACCACTGAGCCATCGCTTTAGCCCTGGGAAAATAAAACTTTTATTTAGATTCAAATATTCTCATTTTTTAAATGGAATGTCCATATTAGGTAACCTAATAAAATATACATGATCATATTATCATATGTAATATAATTTTAAAGTTCCTAACAGTAGACAATAAATTTTAGATTCCTTTATTTCTCCAACTATGTCAGACCTGGCTAATGTGGAATTTTTCTCAATTTTTTCTACTGTAGATTAAGAATCCATCATTACATAGTATCAAGTGACAAAGATTATAATTTCACTATTTTTTGTATTTTCCCTGTGCTTACATGGAGATGGCTTACTATGGAGGTAATAAATGTTTATGTATTTATAAAATCAAGGTCAGGGAAAAAAGAACAAATTGAGACTGGATTTTCAGACAGGTGCCAGAACACAGACATGCAAGCCATGAATTCTTATATTCTTGTTATCACTCACTAACAATTTTGGCCCTTAAAATCAGTAAAGACAGAATTTCTTGGTTAGACAGCTTCACTGTCCAGGGAAGAATTAATTTCAGTTTAATGCTTCTAAATGTTCCCCTTTCCTGTGGCTATTCTGAAATAACAAACAAGCCTACTGACACAACTGATTTTAATTAAAAAAAAATTTATTATTTTTATTTTATATGTACGAGTATATTGCCTGCATATATATAAATTCACCCATGGATGGGTGCCCATGGATGGTAGAAGAAGCCATAAGATCCCCTGGATCTGGAGTTACAGACAGTTGTTAGCCCCCATGTGGGTGCTGGGAATCAAATTTAATCGGTGCTCTTAACCACTGAGGCATTTCTCCAGCCCCACTGCTTTTAATTTGAGAAACATATAAGAAAAATATTTCAGTGACACAAAGATGAACTAACACCTTAGACTTTTTCTTTCAATTTTTAGTACAAAGGCCTATATTATCTCTCTACAAAATACATTTACTTATCACCTGAATGGATAGTATTTACATTTCATACAGAAAAAAGCTCAAATTATAACATTTAACTGGCTTGCATAAATTTACAGGGCTAGTGGATAGCAGAGCCTGAAATGAATAAATGAATTAGAAATTTATCCATTCATTTACTGAAAATCTGTTAAGTAAGGCCCTTTACTAAGTCTTGTGACGATAAAAAGACTTCACAGTTTACCAAGTGGGAAGGATCTAAAATGTAAGAGCACTTAAAGTGGCCAAAACAAAAATCAAAATGTGCATTACATATTCTTGGGGAAGCACACAACACTACTGTCCTTGCTAGTTTCAACTGTCAACTGACACAACTAGAGTTACCCAAGGGAGTCTCCAACTAAAGAAGTGCCCAGATCAAATTAGCCTGTGGCCATGTCTGTGAGGAATTGTCTTAGGTGACTGATGTAAGAGAGCCTCCCACTGAGGGCAGAGTATCCCTGTGCAGGTGGTCCTGAGCTGTAGAAAACTAGCTGAGAGCAATAAGCCAGGGAGCAGCAGGTCACCAGCGATCCACCATGGTTTCTGCTTTAGTTCCTGCCTGAGCTCCTTCCTGCCTTGACTTCTCTTAATGATGGCTTGTGACCCAGACATATCAGCCACATAAACCCTTTCTTCCCTAAGTTACTTTTGGTTACTGTTTATCACAGCAAAAGAAAGCAAACTAGAACAAATATGCATGGACCTCCACAGATGAAGTAATTTCTCAACAGGATATTAAAGAACGACCCAGAATTAGTAGAAAAGGGAAAAGGAAATAATCTAGGCAGAGAGAACTATGAGGAAAAAAAAAAGACAAAATGAGAGCAGACTATATTTAGGGAAAAAATTAGTGTTTTGGGTGCTAAATAAAAAAGCAGAGGGACAACAGATAATGTCCAATGACCTAAGTTCTAGAAGCGTGAAAGAATGGATTCATACTGTCCCATTCCTGTAACATGTAGACAAAGGATCTGAACACGCAAGACAGGAAACAAAGTAATAGTCAAATGACTACTACAATAGAGGATGATGAGACTAACAGCCAAATACAGAGGTAGAAAAGAAAAACCAAGAGAGCCTCCTTGAGAAAGCACAGCCTAGCTGGAGATGATGGCCAGCTCCACTGTTCTTATTTAAGGCCCCAAATAAAGCACTTTGAAACTTAAACCCATACTTTACTGGGTTGTAAGACCTTTCTAAGTTAACTTCAAAACGGAAGACTCTTAGAAGACAGGTAGAAACTGAGTACCTTGATGATGTGTTTCCCTTCGGGTCTGTGATAAAGCTTTATTCCTCTCTTCTTCTGCAGCCATTCCAGATCCTGTAACATTTCACCACTGAAAGATGATTCCACTCCAACAGCCTTGTCACAAACACTCAGTGATTCTTTGCGTGCATTTTGTTTCTCTACATCTTTATATTCTGAATGAACATAGATCAGGAAACCATCTCTTGACTCTGAACTCATCAATGTAAAATTCCTTTCAGAAAAGCTGTCAATTAAACTCTCTTCAGGAAGAAGCTGAAGAGTGAAATCTCCCAGCAGCGCTTTCCAAGAACGATCAACATGGTGGGGAGTAATCATAATATTCAGCTTTACAGATGAAGAGGAAGAAATAGCAACGCTCTCATTTTTGGTCAATTCTGAGATGCTCACAGCCTCAGGGCGCCTCCTCTTCTCTCTCTGAACGGTGCTGGCGTCGTCCAGTGGCTCATCATCTATGAGGATGCACTCAGAGTCAGAGTCTGCACCCGGGCAGGGCTGCTCACCCATAGGTGAGGCAAGTGGCTCGTTCCTCCTGTCCTCGTGCATGTTCCAGTGGAGCTGCCGCTGCCTTTCCTCATCTACCTTCACTGGAGGAGCACGCTTCCGGCGGCTGCTCATTTTCACCTCCTAGCTGGTATCTATGACTTCTAAAAGACAAAACCATGGCATAAGGCATGACAGCAACAGGAAAACTGATGGAGGAGAAGGCCCTAGATCTGGAGTCTGGCTGAAGCCTCTCCTCAGCTAGAAACTCAAGGACTGCAGCACAAATAACAACATACCATGAAGTTTGCCAACAAATGGGTTATTCCTTTCATATGGAAGTATTTCAAATAAGAATATTACAATAGCAATATTCAGGCTCACGGCCTAAATGTATTGACTTTGGGGAGGGTCTCACTCCTTTCCTGGATATTTTCTGGGATTCTCACAAACAAGACCATTAAGTCTTGTGAGCATTCACATTGGAGATAGTTCATTTCCTGCACTGGGTGGTCTAGTTCTTATCAATTATAATCCCGTCAAGTACAGCTCAAACACCACCTTCTGATTTCATGCAAATTTGTTAGCAATCCTTATACATAATATAAATTTTTTCATATAATATGAAATCTTCAGGGAGATACAAAACAGATAAGTAATTTTAAGAAAATTAAGTCAAATATTAGCCATTCTGGTTTGCATGTAAAAGCTCCCTGCAGTCGTGTATGTTTGAACATGATCCCCAGCTAGTGGTACTCTTGGGGAGGTGGTGGAACCTTTAGGAGGTGGGGCAGGTGGGGCCTTGCTCCAACTCCTGAAGTTAGAAGGGAGCCCTGAGGTTGCCCAGTTCTATTTCCTTCCTGTCTCCTGATCCACACAGATGTGAGGCAGCAGCCTCTTGGCCTACTGCCAGCACCAAGACACACACTCACCTGGACTGTACTGAGGATTCCCCACCAGGGTCGCCTGCCTGTATCCTCAAATCATGATTCAAAACCCTTCTCCCTGAAGTAGCTTCTTGTCAGGGATTTGGTCAGAGCAACAAGAAAACCAAAACAACAGGTTAGGAGCACATTAAACAATACTCTCTTGTATCAAATAAATTGCAATCATTTTACTGGTCCTTAGTGGATAAATTTGGTAAAGAGACAATCTGTTGTGTAAAAGAAAATATAAAAATGCACTTGATGAGGGGCTGGAGAGATGGGGTTCAGCAGTTAAGAGCACTGGGTGCTCTTGCAGAGGACCAGGGTTTGGTTCCCAGCACCCACATAGTAGCTAACAACGGTCCATAATTCCAGTTCCAGGGGATGCGGATCCAAGTGCATGACATGGGTGCACCTACATACATGCAGACAATGAACTTATACACATAAAATAAAAATAAGTAAAACATTTTAAAAAATACACTTGATGAGCAACATAGTAGGAAAACAAACCTTTCACAAAGTCTGGAAATAAATGCCTATTATGGCTGTGGAATTCCAATTTTGCTTTATAACTCCAAAGCATCAACAAAACTTGGCTTGAACCTGATGCAGTTTAAAGTCTCCTAGAAATACTTTCTTTCTCAAAGGGGGGCAAAATGAGAAAAGACAGAAAAACGCACACAACCTTTTACGGATTAGCAGCCAATAAGAGGGCTAGCCCGGAAAAGGGGAGGTGGTGATGACAACCGGGTGCCAAGGGGTAGAAAGATTAGAAAAAGAAACCAATGCAGGGGAGAAAAAGACTTTCTACCCCATGCTAGTGCCAAGCCAAATGGAAAAGGAGGTGCAAAGTTTAAATGGCCAGTGTCAACAACACTGCACGGGGGCGGGGGGGGGGGGGGGGGGGGGGGACACGGGTCCCTTCATGCGGCGGTCAGAACGCTCAGGCCGGGGTGGCTGCGAGTGGAGTCCAATGAACGCGTCTCCAAGGCTACCTCGGAACTTTGCTCAGCCTAACCGGGACGTGTCTGCCTCTCCTTTATCTCCCCGCAGCCGCGCGCCGCCAGCCCCGGGGCACAAGGAAGCACGGCCCGGCGCGCGCTGGGTCTTCCCGGCACCCGGGTCGGGCACGCACGCAGCCGTGCACCCCGCTCCACACAGGCCTGGCGCTCCTCCAGAACGCGCCGCCCGGCTGACGACGAGTCGCTGCACCACTCCAGCCGGGAGGCCCCGGGGTCTCCCACACCCGCCCTCCCTCCACGACTTCTGACCTCGCCCCTGAATCTGCGCATACCTCAATCCACGCTCCGAGCCCCGAGCCCCAGGCCCGCAGCGCTCTGCACCTCCCAGGTGCAGCATTCGCCACCCACCGAAGACCTGCCAGGGCCGGGCACGCGCTCCGTGTCCTGTGCAGACGGGACCGCGCGGCCTGACACCGCAGCACCAGCTGCCGGACGCGCGCAGCAGCGTTGGGTCAACGTGGACGCGCACGTCGGGAAACCCCACCCCCTTGCTCCCGGTCTGGCTTCTAGAGTGTCTTCTGCGCAAGTCCAATAGTCGGAAGCCCCTATGAGGAGACCGTTGGAGTATCTCGCGATAGGTGTTCCGCTCTCTTATCTCGCCTCTCCGAGACTTTAGCGAATGCAGGATTGGCTGGAAACCGGAAGGAGGGGCCGGACGCTGAGGGGATAGAAGAGAGACTCCTACCCAGAGGGGGCAGGCGGACGGGGGCGGGGGTGATGGAAATGATTTGTGCCTTTACTAGAAAGGCAGAAACACCTAAAACTAGATATTAATTCATGATGCCAAACAAGAACAGATTTACAGATTAGAAGTTAAACTACCAAACCAGTAGTTTGAATTAACGAGAAATGAAAAGGCAGGTAGGATTTCTCCAGAACCGTCTATTTTATTGCTCCCAGAATAAGTTACCGAGGTCCCCCAAAACTTAAAGCCTTCAAAGGAAATATAAATAAACATTTTAAGATGAGGGGGAAGTTTACATGTGTTATAATGAAGCTGGCCGTACAGATCTTTTTGTCTTTTTTCCTCCTCTATCTCATTGCATAGAGGTGTAAAAGCTCTGAGAAGCTTCAGGGCCAAGAACCTGTAGAAAAGAGCACCCGGACACATGGGACGTTCAGTGGTTAGTCACAGAGTGCTGAATAAGGACTCAGACTGTGTTCAGTGGAGAGGCGTCTGCCTGAATGATGGCAGAAACACTGATGATGATCTTGCCCAAGAGAGCCAGCCCAGAGTGATCCATCTACTCTTCAGAACAGAGCATACCACAGATCTTTAAAGTAGGCTGAAAGAAGTCATTTACCTAAACCACATCCTGTCAGTTTATATGGAAATTAATTGCTTCGTACAAGACTTAACGAGGCAGGCTAAAAAGTAGTGCTGAGCTGTAATCCCGAGTCATTGTTCTTTGGAGAACTGATCATTTTACCAAATATAAGACAACAGAAACTTTCTTCTAAAAGTATAATTTGAAACTCAGCATTTCAAGAACATTGTGCTGGGAAAGATTATCCTTGGTTGTTCTACATTAGTTCTCATTATTGGAACAGAAAATTGAGCTCATTTGGTTGAATCAATTTGGTGCCATGCAGAACTATTTAATGATAAGCCGCGTTAGTTCACCTTTGTTCACCTTAATTGGGATGATTTATAAGCATAATTATACTAATCTTGTCCAAGATATTAAATGACAGATCTGGTTATAAGCTGCGTGGAGATGTAATTTCAACTACAGAGATGGAATTCTACAAATTACCTTCAGTAGATAAAATTAAAACTCCCTCTTGAATTTTCCAATGGCATATTCTGCCCTGGTTTTGCTAAGTGCCTTGTATATAATCTTTGAAATTTTTCTCTGTGGAATAATGTGTTTCAATATTGTAATCCTGAAGCTAATTCTTAGGGAAAAGAATGGTTCACTTGTACCTTGGCTTTCTGGCAGTCTTCTGGTGTGAGGCATCTGTTCACAGGAACACTGAGTTTACACACAAGGGAATCAACTGGACATATCCTGACCTTATCAGGGAGCCCCTCAGTTTTCATATAATTCAACTGCCTAATTTAGAAATAAACCGGGTATATTGTATCATTTCTATTTCATATTTGGATCCTGTTCATTGCAATAAAGAGAATCACATAAATTTTCTGATTTCTTAGTGTGTATCAAAGTCATTTCCACTATGCTGTATAGTTCATTAAGGGTACAATAACTTTATGTCTAAAGATACTATAAATACCTAAGTTAATATTTGCTGCTAAAAATGTTAGTGATCATCTATCTAATCAGCTTTCTGCACATCATCATCATCTTTTTCCTGTTGGAAGATTTTGCTTCCATGCTGATGGCTCCTGATTAATCAGCTGATGGAACCTGGAGGTTGAAGTGGCTATGGAAATTCATTAAAATAAGAACAGTGAGCTAGACTGATGGCTCAGCAGTTAAGAGCACTTGCTGTTCTTGCACAGGGCCCTGGTTCAGTTTCCAGCACCTATGTGGCAGCTCGCAACCATCTGTAACTCCAGTTCCAGGGGCTCTGACACATCTCTGGGCAGAAGGCATGTGTACGTGGTACACATACATACACACAAGCAAAACACTCATAGCACTGGCTGCTCTTGCAGAAAGCCTGGGTTCAAATCCTAGCACCTACATAGTGGCTAACAACCGTTTGTAACTCCAGTTACAGTGGATCCAAGACTCTCTTCTGTAGGCATTGCATGACACAGGTGCATTTAAATACATGCAGGTAATACACTCATACACATAAAAAAATAATAAAGACAACAATAAAATTTGTTGTTCCAACTGACTTTTCCTTTTCTGAAAATGTTGTGACTGGTTTGATCTTCTATCCAGAATAGAACCAGTGAGGCTGCTTCTCAGAGTTCTTGTGTTCACTGACATTTTATATGTATATTATATATAATATCTATAAAATCTCATATCAATATATATGAATAAATAATCAATTTGGTACATTTGAAAACCGTGGTAGAACTCTCATAATTAAAGTCGGACCTATCAAACCCGCAGCTGTCTTGTCTAAGTTTAAGTGATTAACTAAATCTTCTGTTGTCATTTCAACAATGTTCACAGCATCTTCCTAGGTTTAGCGGCCAGCCCTTCACAGGCTGATCCATCTCACTAGCCCCTCATCCATTAAAGTTTAACCTGAGATTGTGGCTACAATCTCATTCAGTCACACTTTCCGATCCCACATCTAATTCTAATTCTAATTCTAATTCTAATTCTAATTCTAATTCTAATAATTCTGTTTCCATGACATATACAATTATTTCCAAAGTCTTGACCTCATTGAAGTCTTTCACGGAGGGTTGAAATCAAATTTGTAACTTGTTATTGTTGCTATTCTGACAGCCTCCCTTTAATAATAAATGTTCTTAATGATATGTGGAATGATGAATGATTTCCAGGTTGTCCGGATAGCCCATATCTAGAAGAAGAAGAAGAGGAAGAGGAAGAGGAAGAAAAAACTATGTAACCATTCAAAAATGTTTTTTTAATAATAAAATTTAAAAGTCAAAACTTTCATTCATGAACTGAAAACTTAATGCTGTGTTGGCAATCATGAAAAGGGTATAAATCTTATCACACATCTATACTGGAGTTTTAGGGTTACTAGGAAGATTAACAATGACCAGTAATATTTCAAAATAGTATTGTTTTCTGAGCAGTATATCTCAACAATGAGCTTAAAATATTCAGTAAAAAAATTAGTGGGTATCTATTCTACTATCCAAGGTTTTGTTGTTCCACTTATAAAGAACAAATAAAATATATTTAATATAATTCTTAAGTGTCATAGGACCTTGGGAGCAATAAATGAACATTTAGTTCCAACCTAAAGTCACTAGCTGAATTATCCCTTAAAAGAATGTCACCCTGTCTTTAAAGCTTTGAAGTTACACATTGACTTCTCTCTGGGAAGCCCTGGATGATATCTTCTTTCAAAATAGATTTGTTTGGTCTACACTGTTGATGTACCCACTTCTGTCAGTAACTTTAGCTATGTTTTTCTAGACAACTCACTGCAGTTTCTCCATCAGCATTCGCTGCTTCATCTCAAACTTTTATGTGAAAGAGATGATCTCTTTCCTAAAACCTCTGAGACAAGCCTCTGCAAGCCTCAAACTTTTCTTTCGCTGTGTCTTCATGTCTCTCAAATTTCACGGAGTACAAGTGTTAGGAACTTGCTTTGGATTAGGCTTTGGCTTATGAAAATGTTGTGACTGGTTTGATCTACTCAGAATAGAAGCAATGAGGCTACTTTGATTTCTTAGAGTTCTTGTGTTCACTGACTATACATATATATATATATGTGTGTTTGTGTGTACATAGTACACACACATACACACAAGCAAAATAGAAGGCTACTTCTAATTCTTAGAGTTCTTGTGTTCACTGACTATATATATATATATATATTCTCATCACTATATATGAATATATCCAATCTCATATTAATTCTATAGATTGAATAGTCATTTAATTTCCTTTAAGAGATTTTCCTTTACACTGATAATTTGGCACAAGACACTTAGCTTTCAGCCTATCTCAATTTAATTATTTCTAGCTTTGGTTTGAAGTGGGAGATATGACATTTCATTTGAACACTTAGAGCACATTCTGTATTGCTAGCTGTCCTCATTTCAAGACTATTGTCTCAGACAATAGAGAGATCCTGGAGGAAGGGGAACAGCTGGTTGGTGATGTAGTCTGATAACACATATTTACTAAGGTCAGCTTTATATAAGGATACTATGTGGTGTGCTTTAAAGCAATTACTATACTAACATAAAAGGTCACTGATCACAGAGCATTGTAATAAATGATGGTAATGAAAAAGTTAGAAATAGCATGAAAATGACGAAAATATGATACAGACACAAAATGAGTCTATTCTGTTGGAAAAAATGGCACAAGTAAGCTTTCTAAATGCAAAGTGGCCATATAGCCTCTATTTTTAAACAAACAAATGAGCAAACAGTGCCACGATGCCTTGTGAAGCATGATGAAGTCAAGAAAAAAATGAGCTTGTGTGCACACGTGAAGGCAAGCAGACCATGTGCTCCCTCATTTGTGCTCCCTCATTTCTTCTCCCTAGACAAAAGTAATTATACATACGAAAGCAATTATACTATACAAAAGTAAGTAATTATAGGTCTATTTCCTTTTGAAGATGGTAAGGCATTTTTATTCTTATCATATACCTAACTCAGTACATCTATTTTGCAAGTAAATGATTTAAGTTGTTTTCCAAGAGGAAGACTTGGAGAGAAAGAATCTCTGTAAGGAAGTAGGTAATTTACCACAAATTAAACCTCCTTTGGGGACAAGAACAGAAATTACTTGCTGTATCAATGTGCCGCTTTCAGTTCTGTAAAGCTCTTTCATGTTGATTTCTCCATGATTTTTAAACTA